CTATTCGTAGCGGAAGGATACCACATCTAAACTGAGCCATTATGGAGCGTTCTTGTTTGTTCATGTTCATCGTTATGTAAGGTTCCATTTCGAAATTATTTTTAAAAGTCACAAATGTTCTCAATTTAGGTAACGACAATATTTTCAATTTCCATTCTTCTTCGCAAAGCTTAAATAATTTACATTTGGCTTGATTTATATCACATGTACGGAGGAAATCAAAATGAGTGTTCATATCTAATTTATATAGAATTTCTTTCATTTGTGAACACCATGTTCCATTATTTTGATAACTCCAGAGGAAAACTTTTTTGGTGAGTCTGTCATCGTCCATTTCAATTAATCAGTTCCATCTTCTAATCATGTTGATCCAGCGCCTGTGCGTCGGTGTTATCCAGCCAACTTCACTGTCTAATGCGATTGCGGGTGCGTATCTATGTAGTCCTAAAAAATATCGAATAGCACGATTTTGTACAACTTCTAAAGAATGATATGTTTTGAATCCCCAAACCCCGGAACAATAATCTAATATAGGAAGTACACAAAATTGAAAAAGCTTTTCGTAGGTATTAAATCCGACATCTTTATAATCATGAATTTTTGAAATCATTGACCCCAATGCTCTCCCTCCTGCTTTACCAAGAGTTTCTGCCGCTATATTGAAATCCATTTCTCGTGAAAGATTATACCAAGATATCGGTATTGATTAACATACTGTAATTCTTCTTCTCCTATTTTAAACTTGCATTGACTTTGAGGAATGTGGCGTTTTCTAAAGTGCATGACATTTGATTTGGCACAATTCACATTTAATCTCCACCGTTTACACCAGTTGTTAAGAGTATCAAGACATTTTTGCATATCTGATTCATTTTCACTGAGAATGGCAATATCGTCAGCATATAATAAAAGACTTATCTTTTGATCACCAATAGAAATTCCCGTATTCAGTTGTGAAATTTCTGTTGCTAGATCGTTAATGAAAAGGGAGAATAGGGTGGGTGATAAGTTGTCTCCTTGACGTACACCGTTAGGACATTCAAACCAATTTGTGCGAAAGTCATTTTCACATACACAAGAGAATGTTTCAGAATATAAACTGGAAATAGCATTATATATTGGACCATTGACTCCATCTAACTGAAGTTTATACTGTAAAAGATCTCTGTTCACAAAATCAAACGCTTTTTGAAGATCAATGAATGTAACGAATTTCAAGGTAGATTTACGATCTTGTATTAGGTTAGTAAGGGAAAATATGTGGTCTTCACAGGATCTGTTTCGACGGAATCCGTTCTGTGTGTCGGAGAGTATTCCATTATCTTCTAGGTATTGCTGTATTCTGTTGTTTAAGACTGAACTGTAGCATTTCGTAACGACTGATAATAAGCTGATTTCTCTGTAGTTCAAAGGTATTCTTGTATAAATTGTAGCGCTTTTTGGAATCGGACGTATTAAAGCTTTCCTCCAAATAGAAGGGACTCTACCAGTTTCAAAACAGAACATAAATAACACATGTAGCACTTTAGTAACAGAGTTATTCTTGAGAACTTCATTATAAATTTGATCAATTCCTGGGCTCTTTCCGTTTTTTAGGTTGGAAATAACTTTACTGACTTCCTCTATGGTAATAGCTATAACTGAAATAATCGTCAAGAAATACGTCTTGTTAAAAGTAAATTCTGCTTCACGTTCTGCTTTGTGAATACACAAAAATAGGTCTGCTAATAACGGGGTGCAATTAGTACAAATTGGAATTCCGACAGAATATTTTTAAATTTTAAATAAAATACATAGTATTGGAGAACAACAAACTTCAAGAATAAAGCTACCCAATGTAAAACGTATATAATTTTTATCTGTTTTATAAATTTAAAAACATGCGGATGTCGATTGTTTGATTAAAAATTGATATTTCATATATTAAATTGAATACATTTAATGTGATAGAGTACATACTGAACGGTAAAACAATCATTTAGTAGATATATGTTGATATCATTTAATAGATAAATGTTGTTATTATATGATTGAATAATTCCCATCTCACTGACTGGCTGAGATCCAAAAATGTTAGAAAAATACTACGTTATGTTGACCTGCACGTGACCTTCCAGGTCAATATAAGGAATTATTTCCAGGTCAATACAAGGAATTATTTATTCTACATTGGACCAAAAATAGATAATCATATAATAAAACAGTTATTGCTGTTTTTTGAGGTCAATACGATGATTTAGACACCTGAGGAGTACAGTATTCACCGAGCCCGAATTATATATTTTATGATTTATCTTGTTTGGCGTAACTATAGATGTATAATATTTCTTTTTATCGAAATAAGGTTATTTTAATAACATAAAGATTTTTATACTTTCAAGTTAAATCATGTTGTCAATTAAAAATATGCAAATTGACGGGAATTTACGGACGAAGATGACAAGAATGGCTTCGTTATAATAAGGTATGCGCTTAATGTACAGTCGTTTTAACCGCTAGTTTTTAGTATTTACGCAGTGAATTTCAAGCAATGTCACGACGACAGATAAAAAATTGTGATAACCCAGAATTCCAATTATTTACAAACTCATGGTAGGATAATACAGAAGAAAATCGGGGTTAGCTTTAGATAGGTCGATTTAAAATACCCAAAATACTGTCAAGCACCTTTATCTATTATGCATCTTAAAATCATACAGCTAAATGAACTAGGTCAAGTATGTAACATTGTTGATGACACCATTGTGGATAAATATTGTGACCCATTGCAGTTTGATTTGAAAGAAGAAGACAGTTTCTAATATTTTTAAATCTGAGTTTGCAGGATAAATATTTAAAATGTTGATGTAGTGTACTATCTCGCCCTTGATTTCAACAGAAAAGAGAACGCTAGGAATATGTTATATGATGGTTTGATTCCAAGGTTTTTTTTTTTTTCATTGATCCTCTTAATATAGATGAAATATTCTTAAAATTTATCGTTTTTTAGTCTCTATTTTTAAAGGTCATGGAACTCGAAGTTACATGTGCAATAAATCTTAAAATAACAGTTTTCATTAAATAATTATGAAAAAAAATTCTTTGGTATAGAGGAAACCCTGATTTAGAATCCTTTTGTTTTCCTTTCTCAAATATTAGTAACTAAATAGATGCTTTTTTTAAAAAAACAAACATTCAAGCAAACAATAGACGCATAATGTTCGACACCCTTCGCACAAATAAACAAACGGAGTATAAGGATAAAATTATAGAGATTTATAATGTTATCTCGTTTTTCATAAAGAAAGAGAAAAAAATTAGCTACTCTATGGGCACGAAAGGACAAAATTAGGATAATTACAGATTAAATTAGTAATTAGCAAGACTCCCTGCATTATACTGATTGAAGGAAAGTGTTTTTCGTAATGCAAATGAAACAACATAATTTTGTTCGAAGGATTTTGTTCCTTCATCATTACTCCTCTAATACAGATTGATTGATTGTATGTTGTTAAACGTCCCATTCGATCCTCTAATACAGAGGGAATGAATGGATGATTTTGAATATGTGAACAAACAACAAGGACTAGAATTTCCATAACAGCTTCATATTTTTCAACATAAGATAGCGAGAGTGACTGAGGTGACCGTTAGTGCTCGAGTGAGTATGCCTAAATAAAACTAAAATATGTTCAGATATATTGTTTTCCGTGATACTAAATGAGTACCAGAACTAAAGACATTTTACTGAGAAGGCGTTTTTGTGTTAAATTTTATAATTCTGTCATTTGAGTCTCTCTCTCTCTCTCTCTCTCTCTTTGTTTTACACTCATCTTTCGTTTGAAGGAGTGCAATTTATAATTTGAATATTTAAAAAAAAACATAATCTGCTATCTGAATAGTCAAGTAGTGACGTGCGATTGTATGGTCGTACCTTTTTTTTTAAACACGATTATCTTGCAGCACAAAAAGGATTGTTGTAACCCAGTCTGCATGGCTTCGTGTATTTTGTGGAATGTATCTTGCAGCACAAAAAGGATTGTTGTAACCCAGTCTGGCTTCGTGTATTTTGTGGAATGTAGTGAGGTTTAGGGAGTTGTAGAGAAGTGAAGTTGGTTTAAGATGATTGAAATGTTCGTGTAATCGTGCGATACTGAAGGAAATTGACACTATAGAGAATTTACTCTGACCATCAAAGATAACGATGCACATTGCAATTTTTTTTTATCCAGTTGATAGTCTAGATCGAGTTCCTGTTTCACATCAGACTATGGTTCCCATTCCACACCTTGCACTAAGGCGATTTGAACACTAGAAATTTGAAAATATTTATCATTTCAGCATACTTACACTTAATACTGTGATCTTTTTTAACGTGTAGTTTGCGGGGATTTTCACATAACCAAGACACAGAGAATATTCCGAGAATATGCTAAAAAACAAACACAGAGTCCCCTGCCTTTGAAATCTGACCGTCTCTCCAGCACCAAATCCTAGAAAAATCCTAACTCTATCTTTGTTAATAATCTCAATATTATTTCTTTTTCCTCTCTGTCAATAAAAATATAATACAATACTATGATATCAATCATAAATTTGAATATAATTAATATATATAATAATTGAATCTTTTGCATTGTAATCAACAGACATATATGAACCAACACTTGACAATGATGCAATACACATCATTGAAGGATTAACTAAATTCGTTTGTTTGACAGATTTAAATGTTATCTGACATTGCGAGTCAAAAAATTGACCCCAGCGCTGCTGAATATGACAATATGACAGAAAAAATATCCCTCAAATGATAAAGGGGGCTTTTAACAATCGCAAAACTGAAGCACAAAAAACCCAGCTAGGTTGGGCAAAATTTCCACCGATTGCATTCGTGCATAGAATCACTTAGAGTGCCGTGCATAATATTTTACTAGGACATCATGATGAAAACTATGTTTTTATCATGATATGAAGAATCCACTCCATGACTTCGAAGATTCCATTCTACTCGAGTGTTGATTATCAGAAGTTTACAGAGATTTGTCAGCAAAAAGACTATTTTCCATTTTTCTTTTTAAAATCGATATTAAATGTCAGACTCAGATGAAATGGGTAAGTTATATATATTTATTTCAGTTTAACGACAGTTCTTGAAATTTCAGTCTTTTTACATACACAATGTTACATGTAAATGCACTTTTTTCTAGATAGCAAGTATGCGTTTTATAAGACAAAGCACTCTACGCAACTTTTTAGCTGCTTTATGTACAATTTTTAGTAATAGTATAAGAGGTATTCATTTTGAAGGTTTAGGTTACTTTTAGTACATCACCACCTTAAACAATTTATAGCATAATTAGAAGACATTTTGATTTGGTTATGGAATTTAAAAAAATCCCGATCGTTCGAAGTGATTTTACTATAGAAAGTTTGTATATCAGTTACTCGCTGTATCATTGTGAGCCACTGACATCAAGAAATTGTATTGTTTTACACGTATCTTCAGCAATTAGTATGCATACAAAGTAAAAACAATCATTAAAATTAATAAAATTTTATTCCAATTTGAGAAATTTGAAATGTGACTCTGCGCAAAATGTATGTCTTGCAGAATTTACAAAAAGTCCCGCGATTGTCAGATTATCTGAGGAAGACATCAAGTCAATTTCAGAGAAACTGAGACTTAAACTAACGCCAGAAGAATCCAAAGCAACATACGGTATGAAAAAGCACATTCATTTTCCGATTTTCATAAACAACTTGAGCATTAAAAAAGTGCATCCTTTTTTTTATCGGAAATATTAATACGGAAGTTTTTTTAACATAAATTTTCAAAGGTAAAAAAAAATAGAGTTTCATAGAGCTAAGTAAAAATATTGTAATTTGTAGAATTCTGTGGAGATATTTGCAAAGCTTATCAAAGAGTGTTTGAACTCATACCACCAACTCCTACCGTCAAATACCCAAGGACACCCGGAAACAGGGAAACAAAGGATGATTCTTGGTGATTTTTTTTTATGAATGTTTCCAGAAATTCAGGACTGTAATGTCCTAAGCTTTAGAAACCGGAATATGTTACATATATACAATGGATTATTTCAATTTTTAAAGCAAAACCAGTATTTTTTATTTAAAAAGTATGTTATCTTCAATAAACTGTGTAATCATTAAAATTTGTAGGGGCCAATTTTCGAGGATTGCTTAAAATTTACAGGTTCGCGGGGACGTACTTTTGTTTATTCTCTTACACAGGTCTACAAAGAAAATATAACTGTAACGCTAAATTTATTAATTCGTTTAGGATATTAATTCGTGGATAAGAGGTACCCACGAAAACTTAGCCACCACGAAATCTAACTATGTCACAGTAAATATTGCATTTCTTTTTCTCAGGTATTACAAGTGTGACATAATAGGAGCTGATAATGGATTATTGGCGGGAAAGACAATTGCAATCAAAGACAACGTGTGTGTGGCCGGAGTTCCTATGATGAATGGAAGTAAAATACTTGAAGGATTCGTACCAGATAGAGATGCCACGATTGTTACAAGAATACTGGATGCAGGTAGTAGTAGTGCTGATATTAGTAGCAGAGAGAGAGAGAGAGAGAGAAAGAGGGGAGGGAAGGAGGGAGAGATTGAGATATATTTAAATATATCTCATGACACTATAAAAGAACTTATACATGTAGTTGATTTACATATTTTTTTCCATTTATTCCAGGAGGAAGAATTACTGGAAAGGCTATTTGTGAGGACTTGTGTTTTTCTGGCTATGGCTCTACATCGCCCTTAGGACCTGTTAAAAACCCTTATGATCCTACCAGAACAACAGGAGGATCTAGCTCAGGATGTGCTTCTCTAGTAAATTAATGATTCCGTTCCCACTTAATTTATGCTATAAACATGCAATGTCTACATATGCAGCCTATGTCTCGTACGCTGGCTAGAAGTATTCGTCAGTTGCACATACGCCAAGAGACCCCCAATTTGGTGTATTTTAGAGGTTGACTCAAATCCAGATGACACTTTCCTCCTTTTTTCTTTATAGGTTGCCAGAAATGTTGTTGATATGGCAATTGGTGGGGATCAGGGTGGATCCATTCGTATACCGTCCAGTTGGTGCGGCATTGTGGGACTTAAGCCGACCCACGGGTTGGTTCCCTATACTGGGATAATGCCGATAGAAATCACTCTGGATCACACTGGACCGATGGCTAGGACCGTAGAGGACTGTGCTACTCTTTTACAGGTTTCCTGTCTTAATTATTTGAATAATTAATAGATGATATATTTCCATAACAGCTTTTCTACATCTATTGTTTGCAACACCAGCTTTCTTATTATGATGGCATGACAGCTCTGACTTTCAGGTGACTGCTGGGTATGACAATGGCAACGATCCAAGACAATTCCCAAACATACCGACTCATCCCTATTCAAAGTTGGTAAGTGTATTGCACTGTTTTATCTGGCCTTTATATTTGTATGAGCCTTAAATTTGAATATTTTACTATACATGTGAGAAACATATGACAAATTTGAATATTAAACATAATTTTTATGCTATGGCATCGAAGCAGGCTTTGGTGTTTTGCAAAAATGAAAAAAAAATCAGGTCTTTATAATTATATCAATCAGATATAAGTGTTCAACCAAAATAGGAGGCAGGAAAACAACGAATTTGAATCTTGTCCAATATGGAGGTATATTACTCAACATATACCCTGAACTCGTAAAATAAAGTGTTGTAAACTTTCAAAACGTTTTGAAAAGTTAAATCCCATACCAGCTAATTTAAGGATATGAGTATGAAAATCACGCGTTTTCATTTATATATGCTACCTGTGAAAACGGTAACTTCCGTCGACAATGAAAATTATGATTTGAATGAACTCGTGATAATCGTAATGATGTGAAAATATATAAGAGAAATCTCAAATCAAGAGATACATTAAAATAACGCGACGCGAAATAATTACGAAAACTTTGCAATTTGTAGATTCATTAGCAGATAACGAAAAAAGTCTCGACACTGTATCTGAAATTGTTTATTATAGTGCAATGATGGAGTAAATGGTAAGAAGGTAGCTCTTCTCAGGGAAGGTTTCGAAGAAGTAGAAGAAAATTTGGCAACTATCGTGAGGGATGCTGCCTATAAACTCAGGGAAGCTGGTGCAGAAGTGTACGAGGTGTCTCTCCCAATCCATAACGATGGTGAAATTCGGTTTTATACTTATTCATAATTCTTTTAACATTTCGATTATTGAAACATTGATTTTGTTCATCAGTATTTAACATTTGATTTTGGGGCATTTACTCCCCTGAGTTCTTTTGAATATTATCAATGCATGTACATGTATGATTTGTAAAGGTTTAGCCATCTGGACACCAGTTGCCTTTGAGGGAACATACCAAACTATGGTGAAAGGAAATGGTATTTATATTTGCATGCGTATAAGTTTTTCTTTTAAAAAATTATTATGGTGTTAATGAATACTAATTCAAGTCTTGCATTTATATTAACAATTTAAAAGAAACATCAAGAAAAAGATGTTTTGTTCAGTCGTTGCTGTATTTTACATACTTTTCCTTCTTCAGATGATTTGATTAAAGAAAGAATAAACGTTTAAACGATGATGTTCCCAAAAGCCATCTTGTATAATTCGCGAATGGTTGTTTTGATCATTTGTAAGGTCATGGATATGGTTGGAAAGGAGCCTACGACCTCCCATTACAAGAAAAGCTGGCAGGTGCTTTTAATCTCCGTCCCTTTGATTGTCCACTACCTGTTAAAATCATCATGCTCTTTTCAGAGTATATACAGAAAGAGTATCAAAACAAATTTTACGCTAAGGGTCAGAACTTGGTCCAATATTTGACGATGGAATATAACAGAATTCTGAAGGATTATGACGTCATGATAATGCCTACATTGCCAGGGATGCCATCTAAACTCCCTACAACAGACACATCAATTGAAGGTTAATAGACGGAATTATTTAATAGACATTAATTCAAAATGTTACATTTAGTCATTTACTGGAGAGAGAGAGAGAGATGTGTTTGTGCGAGGGAGGGTGTATGTGCCGATAATGTGAACTAAACACTTATTTACAAATTCCAAGACATCTTTAAGAGTACATACAGTTATTAAGCTGATAACCACTAGAGAATTACGTTACATATAATAATACAGGTTTATTTTAATACTTTGTCAACTGGAATTTATTTACAGCATAATAAAACTATGCATTTGCCAAACTCTTCCATATCGGTAAGAAGAAACTTTTGAATTTATGAATATTTCTTTTAGAAACCCTGAAACGTCAAAAATTGATAAAGAAAAATACAGCCCCATTCAATGCCACAGGCCACCCCGCTCTCACCATAAACGCAGGCTTCATTGAAGGACTACCTTGTGGAATGATGATTGTGGGTAGAATGTTTGAGGAAAGTACTGTTTTACAGGTCGCGAGAGCATACGAGAAAATTCGAGATCGGACATCTTAGTTCATAGTTTAGTTTGACGAGGATTGAATACGAAAAAGCTGGATTAGTATATTCTTTTCGTTGTTATCATTCACTACAATATATTGAATATCAGTACATGTATATAGTTTTCTTTTTAAAAAGATCATTTCTTATTCATTAATAATTCGATTTTCTAATCTCTAAATACAGCATGGGGATTCTTATAATAAGATATCCCCTTTAATCTTAGTCGTATTTTGTTGTAAATATACCATATATTCCATATATTATTGCTTCCTTTCCTTTATGTTTGTTTCACTTGTCACACTTTCTTGTTTATTGATTTATTTACAGTTGCAGCAAAATATCGGTTCACTTTTGATTGGCCATCATGAAGAAGTTTCATTAATTTGATCTGACACAAAATTTCTCAAATGGGAGTCTCTTACTTAAGTGTGACATTTATTTTCAAACTTTGTTTCAAAATGTTGAGTATCTTTTCTTACGTTGCAGGTGTATTTAGTACAAATATCATTTCTGCTTGAACTTTCAGTAAGGCGTGACAATCTCGGCGATACATAATTAGCGTCTCTCAAATGGTGACCTAGATTCTCATTGGTAAAGAAATTAATAACATTAGCAACTTTAGATTGTTGATAACAACTAAGCCACACCTCTTTACTGTAAGAAACGATGTAATTGGTTCCTTGCGTCACTCTATGACGTCTGAAGCATTTTTATTCCATGTGTAATTTACCTGTGAATGAAAAACTGTGTAAATTTCAGTATTGATGAGCTAATCTGGCAACCAATGAGAATCTAGGTCACTATTTGAGAGACGCTAATTATGTATAGCCGAGAAAATCACGCCTTTCTGAAAGTTCAAGCAGAAATGATATTTGTACTATTAGGATTCTTGTTGTTGCATTTGCCATTCTTGCCAGGTTGAAAGCCTATGGTAGGTTGAGGCCTATATTAGTATCTTCAGATCTCACGTTGTCAAATCTTGGATGGAGGATATCATTGCAGAAGCTTACATAACAAGAGGCCCATGGGCCACATCGCTCACCTGAGTAACTTTGGATGTGCCGTTCTTTACCAGATTTCCCCCTTGTAATACCTACTGTGGCCCCGCCCTACCTCCGGGATCATGATTTGAACAATTTAGAATCTACGCTACCCCAGGGTTCTTCCACATAAGTTTCAGCTTTTCTGGCCCAGTGGCTCTTGAGAAGAAGATTTTTAAAGATTTTCCCAATATATTTCAATGTAAAACTTAGATTCCCTATTGTGGCCCCGCCCTACCCCCGGGGGTCATGATTTTTACAATTTAGAATCTACACTACCCCAGGATGCTTCCACATAAGTTTCAGCTATTCTGGTCCAGTGGTTCTTGAGAAGAAGATTTTTCAAGATTTTTCTTATATATATTCCAATGTAAAACTTGGATTCCTTATTGTGGCCCCGCCCTACCCCCTTGGGTCATGATTTGAACAATTTAAAATCTACACTACCCCAGGATGCTTCTACATAAGTTTCAGCTTTTCGATCTGGCCCAGTGGTTCTTGAGAAGAAGATTTTTAAAGATTTTTCTTATATATTTTAATGTAAAACTTTGATTCCTTATTGTGGCCCCGCCCTACCCCCGGGGGTAATGATCTGAACAATTTAGAATCTACACTTCCCCAGGATGCTTCCACTTAAGTTTCAGCTTTTCTGGCCCAGTGGTTCTTGAGAAGAAGATTTTTATAGATTTTCCCTATATATTTCAATGTAAAACTTGGATTCCCTATTGTGGCCCCGCCCTACCCCCGGGGGTCATGATTTTTACAATTTAGAATCTACACTACCCCAGGATGCTTCCACATAAGTTTCAGCTGTTTTGAGCCCAGTGGTTCCTTAGAAGAAGATTTTTTAATGACCATACCCTATTTTTTGTCTTTTCTTGATTATCTCCCCTTTTAAGAGACCTTGGCCCTTAATTTTAACAATTTAAACCCCCCTTTACCCAAGGATACTTTGTACCAAGTTTGGTTAAAATTGGCCCGGTGGTTCTTGAGAAGAAGTTGAAAATGTGAAAAGTTTACAGACGGACGGACGACGGACAACTGGTGATCAGAAAAGCTCACTTGAGCTTTCAGCTCAGGTGAGCTAAAAATGCTTCGATATCAAATACTTGGAAACAAACTACCACTGATTCATAGGATGCTACATGTAGATTTGATGTAAAATTTTCAGAATGCAAACACATTTCGTACATGTATATACATGTAGCATATGCATATTATTTTTTCAAATTCAATTTTTTATAGTAAAGAAATATCAATTCAGAAACTTTTCATGAAAAAATGCAACAATTAGCTTTTTTGTGGGTATTTTATTTAATGAATTGTGTAACAATAGTGCAATACTAATATTACTGTAACATTGTAGTTTTGAAATTGTACAAAGAACACGGTACGGTTTCAATACAAAGTCTATATTTTTCTCAAATAAAATGAAAAAGCATGAAAAAGCAGATATCATTGATGTGGCAAACATTTATTTGGGGCTTTTGACAGGAGGACGGTTAACCTTCATCTATTCCATAATAACTAGGGGCTCTGAACCGTGCTGTGAATTTAAAAGTTACTATCAATTTAATCTGTGATTTTTGAAAGGTAAACAGGTAGCTCTTCAGACTTCATGAATTTCAGAATGAACGTTGAATAACTTCTTTTTCTTCTCACCTCCTAATGTGTTAAAGCAATCTTCGTTTTGAAAGTAGCAAAAAGTAAACATGCTCTAAATCTGAATGCTTTGGAGAATAATGGATTATAACATGACTGCACAATCTCGAATGGTTGTGAATATTCTTTTTAATGTACAGTGAATGATCTGTTTCACGGAGTTATGAATTTGTAGGGATAAACAGACATTAAGTTTTTATTGGGTTAAATATCTTGGTAAAAATTATCTGACTCATGTCCTTGGGAAACTTTAAAACAACAACATTTTGATAAAATTGTGGATGATGTGTTTCAATTGAACCGTTATATGCATGCGAATTGCAATACCTTTGTCCAAAAGAAAAAGACCGATAAATGCATCTGAAACGTGTATGTGCTTTAATAAATACTAATCGTTATCTATCTTTAAACCTCGTGATTTTTATTCCCTCACTTATTTGTTTACGTGGTCATTGAACTGAAGTACAGAAATGTTACTATGACTATGAGCATCCGGTAAGTTAACCTTGATTATTTTTTTTTTCATATTTCAAAATCACTGTTATTTTTTTAGCGTTGTTACCTGCATTATAGACAAAGATTTTGAAGTCCATCATAGCTTCATAGCTTTTCTCGGTCATTTTAAATTAGTATGCATTTTGAATAAAGCTTATTACCTGCATTTCTGAAAAGAATTTCTCTCTAATTTTGCAATCAGTTTCCTATCTGTTTTACAGAAGACCCTCAGCAGTGCCTCTATTGGTAATCGCAGTGTGGATGGGCTTATATGTGTATTTTTATCTGTTGCTTGGTAAAAAGAACTGGAGCACAAAACAGAAGTCAGTACCCAATAGGAGATTATGTTTTTATAATGAGACGGCTGATAATTTGAGATGGAATTTACCAAACGTACCAAAACATTCACTCCAAAATGACTCGTTGGAACCCTTGTCAGTGGAGATTATGCAGCATTTCACATTGCTTAATAAGACATTGTGCCAAGGTTTTCTTATATTGATTCTCACCCCAATTCATAACAGTGAAGATGATATGGAGAGATACTTGAACCTTATCAAAAGTTTAGATTACCCAAGACACTTGCTGTCTGTTTCCTTTGGTGAGGACGGTAGCCAAGATAAAACATTCTCCAAAGCACTCATAGTCGCAGAGCAGTTAAAGGCCCTTGGCATCCGCCGAGTAGATGTTCACCATTTCAACATCACTGGTCAGGTAAGGGATAGTTGGTTAAATGAACATTCATATGCAAAACAACTTCAAAGGAGAAGTCATCTAGCAAAAGCAAGAAATATGCTTCTAGAAGCAGCTCTGAAGGACGAAGATTACGTTCTTTGGTTAGATTCAGACATAAAAATTGTTCCTCCGGATTTAATTCAACAAATGCTTCACGCAAATAAGGACGTTGTTTCAGCCTCTTGTCTGTTCAAAGACAGAAGTGGGCGCCTGCGCATTTACGACAAAAATACCTGGAGGGAAACGGTTGAATCTTTGCAGAAACAAGAGAGATTTCCAAAAAACCAACTTGTCGTAGAGGGATACGGCCCATCTTTGAAAATATATCTCCCTCATTTACGAGGTGAGGGAAAACGTGCTGTTCCTATAGATGGCGTTGGTGGTTGTAGCTTACTGGTAAAAGCGGATTGTCACAGGAATAGGCTTCGTTTTCCAGAGACTTTGTACAAGAGGCATATCGAAACGGAGGGGTTGGCAAAAATGGCGGCGGACATGGGATACAGTGTGTACGGTTTACCTTTTGTAAACGTTTTCCATTCGTAGATTGATTAAAGATTTCTCTAAAAATAATTTCTTAATTATTAGGTAAACAAAACAATCGAAGAACCTTTTGCAGTTATTCTTTTAATAAATGCTAAGACCTGAAAGAACATCCGTACATCTCAAAGCGCATGCCCACATAGTTGTTTGCATTGTTGGATTTCCTGTTGAAGTCTACCACATTTAATCTAATATGTTGCGCTAGAAGAGGTGGGTCAATGTTTTGAAGTTTAATGGAAGTCTGGTCCGTATTACCATCAAAGTACTGTGAAAAAAAATTAGAAAGAGGGAAGAGTAAGAGAGAAATGGAAAATTGTCCAGTATTATCTAATGAGTAAAACAATTGAAACGTCCTCGTGAGTTAAAATGATATATATCAGTCATCCAAACGGTACAATCCATAGCGGTATACCTTTTTCTGGCAGTTTTCTTGGAGGTCCCTCCATTTAACACCATCGGAGGAGTACTGTATGGTGTAGTTTGTCACGCGGACATCACAGCATGGGGCTCCCTGATTAAAAATTAGATTAAAAACAAGGCTTTTTGTTATCATATATAAACTGCTCCTTGAATAAAAATGGAATTTGGAAATGGTGATTGGTCATCTACAAAATTACTTTGTAAAATTCTTCTATACACAAGTACTCCGTGGTTGAAAATAAAGGATGCTGGAGTTTTATGCTCTCTTTAGAAACCAGTCTTCAAAACCATAAACTTCAGAATAGATTTCTTTAAGTCAAAATATTTATGCGAAGAATCTTGATACCATTTTACAGAGGTATTTAAGAAACTGAATGTTGTGTAATATTCAAATACCAAAATCCCATGAAAATTTTGTTTGATTATCAGAATCATTTCAAAAGTTAAATTGTTTTGAAATTTTGCCTTAAGACTGTATTCTTGTTATGGTCCTGGGGTAAGATCTTCCAACAATCTGTTGGAATTCTGCTGAGCATATTATATCGGCTCCTTTATTAGGCGACTTATTTTTATATTCCTATGATGCAGAATTTATTAAAAAACGCGTACACGAGAAGAAATCACTTGCTGTAGCTATAAATAGATATTCAGATACTGTAGAAGTAACATTTTTCCGCGTGGTTTTAATTTACGTTATGTACGCGGTTACCAATTTTCAACAATTTGCCATAGCATACTTAAAGTACATTTAAGACAAAGAATGATAATTCAAGATATCAGCGTAGTTTGGCGTAGTTTCCCGACCACAGATTGAACAGAAATTGTGATTCTGCGAAATTATGACCCTGTGGATAAAAGTACGCTTATATATATCGACGACGTTTCATATTTAACAATATTTATTTCCATTCATATGTCGAGTTGATATATCCCAATAAACTCGAAATAAAAGACATCACAGAGTCTGTCATATCTGTTTCATATTTGGATGTTTTACAGACTACGACGATAAGGACCATCTAAAACTAAACTGCAAGATAAACGAGATAAATTCAGATTTTCCATCGTCAACTTTCCTTATTGATATAGTAATATCCCGCTGCCACGTGCATTTGGTGTTTATTTCTCCCTGATTCGATATTCAAGACCATTAATTTTTAAACAGACGCAGGCTACTGAAAAATAAGTTTATGTTACAGGGATTGTTAAGCCATTGCTTTTATACTTAATTTGACTACTGATTTTTCCGTTTTTACGGCTAACGACGGGTGTGACTTGTCAACGGGGGATATTTGCTCCCTAGCACCTGATCCTACCTGAATTTCAACGGGTTCGTGTTTTATTCCCTTTCCTTAGATTTGTATTGTTTGTAGGTTTTTGAGATCAATCACTTTTTTCTTTTATCTTCACTTTTTTTCCATATACAGAGTACATATATACATATAGAAGATTGTCTGAGAATATTAAGAGATTCTTTATATTTTACAGTCTGCAAGCAATTCAAATATTGGGTATACTAGTATCTGGTGGTTTTAATTAATTTGTATCCATGTAAATAATAAGTTCATCAGTGTAATGGTGCCTTGAACTTGGTGAACTAACTAAATACAAAGACTAGCTGATCCAAAGAAGTTATGAATTACAAATCCGTACCTGAGTGGCTAGTTTTGTGACGTATTTTTTCTCTCCTAAATCCACTTGGATCCAGTCATGTGACACTGACTTGTCATTTGTATACCACCCAGTCTTGCTGTTGATGCGTGCTCCAGCGGGGCTGTAGTTTACGTGAGACTCGCTGGCAGTGATGGCTGAGTCGGATATTGTTCCATTTGCCATTCCAAGAGGGGTGTCACAGGTGCTTATTTAAAATGATAAGACGACATGAAATATTGAGTAACAATTTTGATTGATTGTATGTTGTTTTACGTCCCATTCGAGAATTTTTCACTCATATAGAGACGTCACCATGTACTGATAAAGGGTTTCAAATTTTGACCTTAACTCGGCACTCAGAGCCATTGAGCAGTGAGGGATCTTTATCGTGCAAACGCCTGTCGTGACACGGGGCCTCGGTTTTTAAGGTCTCATCCGAAGGACCCGCAACTATCACTTCAAAATGCCGAGCGCATGGCGAATGAACAGCTGCTACCTATTTTTTATCGACTTAGGTCAGTCGCGGCCGAGATTCGAACTCACGGCCTTCCGATTACGGAGCGAACGCTCTACCGACTGAGTAACAATTTTGATGTACATGTACAATGGTGAATTGTTCATGTAGAAATTTAAGACGCAGGATTTGTATATGTTACTGTATATGTAAAATAAAATGTAGCTGATTTGTTCCTTGTTCTATAGTTCCATAATAAAAGGTATTTTAAAAGATATAGAAAAAAGAGAGAGAGAAAAAAGATCCATTTGACAGCTAAAGTAATCATTAACATGGTTACGATCATCTATCTTGCATGGAATTGTGACTTTAGTAAGTGTCTCTGGAAATTAAACATTTTATTACACTTTTAATACCTTTTTGTTTTGTCTTCGTAAACGAATTTTCGCCATGTTGGTGGTTAGTATCTTATTAAACAAAAACTTATGACCTAGATATTGTATAAGTTACTTTAATCATTCGACAGAAAGAGCTGTTTTGACTTAATTATTTTGATACCTGGATATCAAAGGTTTGGAGGATTGGATTCGTAGTGATTGTAACTCTTGTTGTAATGCTAAGATCTTTCTGTCTCGGGCTGCCACGACAGACGTCAAATTCCGTAAGGAAGCCGTGGCAAACTTGTACACCCTCTCCAAGAAAGTGTTATTTTTTCTTAGCTCAATCATCTCATCTATTGTGGCATTATCGGCTAACAAAAAAAATAATCCGTCAGAATTTACGAAAAACAATAATTATGCAAGCAGATTTCTTGAAATTGATAAAGCACGACAATACCTGGGCAATGTTGTGCTGGTTGTACAATTTTTGGTGTCTGCCCAGTCATGTTACTTCCCTTTAAATCATTAATCTGCGTCTGTAGGAGGGTTAGTGTATGCTGGACGTCCTTGACCTCTAATACCAGACGATGGACATCATCCATACGAACGCCTATCTCGCCATGAAGAGATTTACCCAGCGCGTTGAATCCTTGAGAAAGATTGCTCATGAATTCCCGATCTTGACTCAACATGGAGTGAGTGTTTGAAATTTCCCGCCCAAAACTTTCTAACATGGCCGAGGTATTCAATTTTAGTACTTCCGTTTCATGTTGAAGAGGTAGTAGCTTTCCATTAAGATAGTTGCGAAGTGTGTACAGATCTAAGTTATGGCGATAAGTCAGTTCGTTGATTTTGGAATCGAATATTTTACTGTAGTTCAGCGAACAAGCCAGTCTGGACGCGCATTGCTCTGCAGTTGAAGGATAAGTAAATTGTGCATTATTAAGTCCACATAATAAAAGAATTAAAATGATCGTCCCCATAGCTCGTATTCGGACAATCAAAAAGAAACAGAGTAACTTTTAAGGTTTTTGTTTGAGGGACAAATATATCTGTAGATGTGCAGATGTTTTCCTATAAAAGATAACATTCTCACGTTCGGAGATATTTTCTCTGTGCATGTATAATTTGAAGATTATATGACCATTGTCCGTAAATTTAACCTCAGAAGAATTTTAAGAAATAATCGACTATCGGTAATATTTCTTTTTAAAAAGACCAAATAAACTTAAACGAGAATTAATATACTTTAATAGTAATAATTTGTTTCATTCTACAATCAAATTATATAATTGCTTACCATATTGATCCTGTAAAGCTTTACTGCAAAAGCTTAATAGTAACTAACATTCCGTGCTTCATCTCAGCATAGTTGCTTTAGGTCTATGATCTAAGTTATCTTCACCATAGTAACATTATAGAAAACCATGACTTATATATTTACATTTCTACTTCACAGTCTCTGAATCAAACTTGATACAAGTGCGTGTGTGAGTGAGGGTGTGTGTGTGTGTGTGTGTGAGTGTGTGTGTGTGTGTGTGTGTTTTCCCACAAATTAATGAAACTATGATAACTGAATTCTTCAAGTTTAGCTCACTTGGGCCAGAAAAGATGAAACTTAGTACCGGGTATGTGAAAGTTTCCTGACATGTGAAAATTCAAGTCGGTTCATATCACCGCCCTACAAGATAAGGTGGGTCACAATAAATGGGGGGGGGGGTATGTTTTAGTTGGAAAATGTAGAAATACATCTCAAAAACAACAGGACCAATTAAGTAATATTTTGAATATTCAAGTCTACATGTACTAGTATTCAGGTAATGTAGATTCTAATAAGTTCAAATCATGGCCCAGGAGATAGGAAGAATAGGGTTACAGTAACTGATTTACGTTTTACATGGGAATGTTAACGTAAGAACTGGGGACAATCTTTAATCAAAGTACTGAAAGTACTGGGAAGCGCTAAGCAATGTTTGAAATTCATCAGAATTATTTTGAATTTAAATTGCCTGTTGTATTGGAAGAAGTATTATGTTGACAGTGCAACCGCGCTGGGGCGAGCACAGTTCTTCGATACATATTCACTTAATTTAAAATAAAACTTGTATCCGCCTTTTCAAACCAGACGGGGAAACATTTGAAGGTTCGAGATTCTCCGTTTCTTTTAATATATATATATATATATATATATATATATATATATATATATATATATATATATATATATATATATATATATATATATATATATATATATATAAATAAAAATCCAAAAAATCACAAAATATTTTCTGCAAGCGCTTTCGCCATGTTAGGCTCTTCAGGCAGTTATACAAATGTCAGGTAGGTTACCTGGTAACGTCCAAAAGCAAAAGTTCATTGTGACGTCATAATAGATCAAGGTAGCGTAAAGTTGCCGTATTAGATAATGTACAAATATTGCATTAACTTGAACACATAATAAGCATAAAATCTTACAATATGTTATATAATAATGTATCATTTTCGATTAAGCTTTGGTTTAAAGAGTTTGATAAAGTAGTCCTCTTTTGCCAAACGTAGATTTTCATTTTCATTGGGAAGTTTATAAAAAGGGAAAATCTTAAATATTCCTTTGCCGCATTTTGCAAAATGTTCACAACATGGTGTATTACGCACACTAGGGTCTTTAATTTGTTGCTTGTGTACACGAACCCGGGCATTTAGTTTCCCCGTTTGTCCAATATAGAATTCTTTGCATGTCGGACAGATTGCACAGTAGATAACGTTTTCGGATTTACAGTTCATTGGTGAATTGGTTCTTATTTCCATTCCTGATTTAAGTTGGATTCTATTTCCCTCTTCTAAATATGTACACGTTCCGCATCTTGGATCTCCGCATTTTTTAATGGTTGGAATTTCCTCCTGTGTAGTAAAACGGGCCTTGGTTAACAATTTTTTAAGATTGGGTGCCTGTCGTCGACTATTGATAATATCATTTGGTTGTATTAAACTTTTCATATTTTCCGATTGTACACAAGCAACAAATTAAAGACCCTAGTGTGCGTAATACACCATGTTGTGAACATTTTGCAAAATGCGGCAAAGGAATATTTAATTAAGGTATGTCACTCGTGAAATTTGTTATATCAAGGATTTTTTGAGAAGTATATTTTGGATAAGTAATCATATAGTATGACTCAAAATCGCAGAGAAAATGGGGGGTCAGTGTGCATCTAACTGAGCTACGGTACAATTAAGTTGACCTTTTTGCACTTAAATTGTAAATTTTTGGTAAATCACTTTAACCGTTATCATATTTTATCAGATGTAACCATGGCAATAAACATAACTTATTTTACGTAAAATAGTTTGAATAATATTTAGCATTCAACAAATCACACAAATTAATGCGCGTAAATTATTGTGTGACCTCTTTGCACTAAAAAAGTCTCATATTTGGGGTATTTTAATCTAAATAGGCAATAGAATATTTTCTTGTATCAAACTTTTTACGACTTAAGTGCTGATCGGTCAAAAGTATCGAGTAGTTTAAAGTAATGAAAGAAAAAGTTAGGGTCAGTGATGTAAATTTTGAAATATTGATCAAAATATGCGATTTTCTGGCAAAAAACTGTGTAAATTTTATCTTATCTTCGTTAATATATCTTCATTTCTTGGCAAAGTTTGTTGAGCGAAGGTGTAAATTTTGTTATAAAAATATAAATTGAGACCTATATTTAATATTCCAGGCATATTATAACGGAATATATTCTCTGAGTAAAAGTATGTGAGGCTAAAGTTCCAAGATATTAAATTCAATAAATGTGTAGATTTGCAGAATTTTCTGCTAAATATCCTTCCACCACAAGAAATAGTCCCTTATAAATCTTACTTCTTCATGAATTTTTGAGCAGATTTTTAATTGAATGTTGAACATTTTACATTGTTTAATTTAAATATGTTATAAAGATTGAATTGTATTAAATAGTTTTTAAGTAAGAGGTTCTGACTGAACTTTTCTAAAAGGCTGACAAGTGACATACCTTAAGATTTTCCCTTTTTATAAACTTCCCAATGAAAATGAAAATCTACGTTTGGCAAAAGAGGACTACTTTATCAAACTCTTTAAACCAAAGCTTAATCGAAAATGATACATTATTATATAACATATTGTAAGATTTTATGCTTATTATGTGTTCAAGTTAATGCAATATTTGTACATTATCTAATACGGCAACTTTACGCTACCTTGATCTATTATGACGTCACAATGAACTTTTGCTTTTGGACGTTACCAGGTAACCTACCTGACATTTGTATAACTGCCTGAAGAGCCTAACATGGCGAAAGCGCTTGCAGAAAATATTTTGTGATTTTTTGGATTTTTATTTTTAATACACCCAGCAAAACTGTACCGGTTCTTCATTTTGTTTTTGAAATTATATATATATATATATATATATATATATATATATATATATATATATATATATATATATATATATATATATATATATATATATATATATATATATATATATATATATATATATATATATAAATTAAATAACAGATATTTAGTCCAAACAGTAATGTATTTCTCAAACCTAATAAAAAAAGAAAGAAGCGAAAAAAAAAAAGAACATCTAAAAATATTTTCGTTCTCCATCGCCTTATAGGAGTCTATAAGAGGTAGGTTTGCGTATAAATCGCAATTCATTGGAGGTGGGGGGGGGGGGTGATCGACGAGTTTCCAACCAAATTTAGACAATAAATGTAGCTATACATTTGCTGGAAAATGTATATTTTTAAATAATTTTGAACACTTGAAAATGTCGCTGATATTCCTCTCATTAATGTGCAACACTGATAGCTAAAATGTTCTGGTGATAATTTTTAATAATTCATTCCGTGTTCACGAGTGTTTCAAATTGAAGATGGCTGTTTGTGATTGTGAATTAATTTTAGAAAGTGCTCCAAAAAAATAAAAATGTTATTTTTTATTGCGTCGATAAAATATTTCCTTATTGATAACATATTTTATTAAAGTTATGAATTAAAGATCTAAAAACTATCGAGTACTAGTATTCTCACTTAATTGTTTTTTAGTATATCTCTTTTTTTCATATTCATGAGCGATTTTTAAACTTACGAATCTATAGAAAGGATTTTACAAGAAATACATTAATGGAGTGTGTAAGATATTTACACAATCGCTACGAGCGTCCGGTATTTATTAATGATAAATAAAACTTAGACTATATATTTCATTTTGTTTTGAATATGCTACAGCTGTGCATTATACATTTTTTACACTTCACATTCATCGCGCTGTGCAGCATATCGGCATCATCATGTGAAAAAAAATCTATTAAATGAGCACCCGTAGATTTTACGTCATTTTGTCAGAGATAATTGGTAAATATACATTTTGATTATAAGGATATTATATTTGTCTTCTTCGTTTGATGATAACACATTCAAAGCTATCCTTTACATCTGATTTTCATATACATGTACATGATTTATAATGTATTTGCATAAAAAATTAGTCTTTTCTGTTGATCTACAATATAAGTATCTGATTTGTAAATTTTACTTTTTTAAAAATAAATTTTTATACTTTTCTTCTTCGGAATAAAAATATGTCATTAAAACCCCCAAAAGTAATTTTTGGACTCTTGTTGAAATACTTAAAATGCCTCAGTATTTTTTTTTTACGGATATTTGATACTTTACACCAATCTTTACTTGTTTATGTATGAAATTAACTACCACGCAAAACATGTTGAGAGGGAAAGAATATCTACAGCACTGGTGTGTTAAAAAGGAATACTAGTACTGAAAATAATTGACCCGTAATTTTTCTGCTAATTCCATGATAAATAATTCAACAGCCCAAGAAAGAAAAGACATTATATTAATCTCAAGTATGAATAAATCTTTATGAAGGTATGCAACATTGTTTTATTCTGTTTTTACTTAGTCCTAATTAAGTCGCTTAGCAGACAAATCAGCAACACACGCACACCTTTACCTAAACTATTTCTTCCTAGGTTCCTAACACAAGTATGCTTAACATTTCATCAGCGCTATTCCTGTCCATTGCTAAGAACGTTTAATTAAGGTTTTAGCATTTTCCGCCAGATCTTGCGCACTGCACACACAATTTTATTGCACAATATTTGTCATCAATATTTCCGAGAAATTAGTTTTCCTATCTAAGTGGATTCGTTGAAAACACAGCCTCCACGTTCCCTACGTGTACGTACAGCCGCAAACTGCCTTTCTTTGCGAATTATTTACATCATATTTTTTTACCCATATTACAAGTATAGAATACAACACAAGTAAAGACAGTTCATGAATGCATTCCAGTCTGTTACTAATATTGACACTGAGATGCGAAAATCAACTTCATTGATAGCTCTCTACATGGTGCAAGGGTGATAATAGGAAGATTGTTTTTAGTTTCATTGACTGAAATAAGGGTCTAGAAGAAAAAATATTAGTTAATATTGATATAAATTATATAGAACGTACATATGTAGTACATTGTAAATCAATTTTATGCGAAATTTTCTACTAAATAACTTAATTCCAGTTTGAGTTTTAAATACTTATTAAAATTCCATCTCAGTTTTAAAAATATGTACTTATTCAATCACTAATCACATTAAATTTGAAAATCTCCCTTTCAAGAACATCAGGGTAAATTATATCGACATATACATGCAGTGTAAATTTAAATCAACGCCCGGATTGGGTGGATTACAATAGAGCATGAAAATTTTACATATATTGGGGAAAATCTTTGATAAAATCTTCTTTTCATAAACAGCATGGCAATAAATAGTCATAGTGATGTGCAATAATCGTCAGCGAAATGTAGTGCATAAACAAAGTCGTTCCAACAGTCCTAGCCGGGGGGGGGGGGGGGGGGGGGTCTGGGGAGAAGAGGGCACGATAAAAGATTAAAGTTTTCCATGAGATGTATTCAGGGGGGAAATCTTTAAAAATCTCCTTTTCAAGAACAATAGGACTGTGATTAGTCATATTCCTTAAGGAGATCAGAATGAAGTGCCGAACCATAATTAAAGCAGGACTGGTTAAATTTGTCTCCAATAATTTTACATATAATTAAGTCTCTGGACCGATGTTTCCGTTTTTCCAAATTAGACTTCATGTAATAATTGTATGTCTTGCCTTTCCTTTTCTTGATTTTATGCCCCCAACTTTTTTTTTTTCATTTTTCTGACAATGCTTTTTAGTTATGTGAAACTGTCTATCTTCTCAACGCATCTACCTTCAAAGGTGAAAGGGCAGCTCGAGTCTTTTTGCAAGTTGATTTGTAGGATTTGTGTTTTTTGAATAATTATTAATTTTCAGCCCTGTTGATTTAGCAACAGTGTGAAGTAACTTTTTTTTTGTTTGATGTCCTGAAACTGTTGAGATACCTGCCCTGCATTATCTCAAACAAGTCAAGGTCTTCCACAGACGTTTTATATCATCATGTAGGAGTGTTTACCTGCAAAGTTTAAAACTTGTCAAACTTTGACGTTAAAAACTTTTCTGATTCTACAAATAAGTACCCCGGGGTTATACAAAAGGTGCTCAAGTTCCTCATGACAACATATATGTAGTCTTTGAAGGTCAGGTCTTCGATCTGTTAGAATTCTCATGGGTACTAATTGTGCCATATTATTAGCATACCTGTGTTTGTATTCTAATACATGTAAAGCAAAATTTATTCTGTCCAAAGCTTGTATATGGAGAAGAAAATTTTGAATGACATTGCCAGGAAAATAGCCAAACAAATCTGTGGTCCATGAATTTTATATTTTTAGACAGAGCTTACTGACAAAATAACTTGGAACTACATGAACCACAAACAATCAAACTTTGGTAATTCAAGGCATTTATTACTACACTTTAACCATGTCCATAAACTATAATTTAGCTTTTCATTTCCCTTTATAATGCAATTTAAATCAACATAAAATTGTTTTATACTGTGTTCACAGTACAATCATATAGATCTCAAATCTCACAACCAATGAATTATATCTATAACAATATCATTGTACAAATACTAAATGAAATTTGTAATGCTGAGATTATAACAAGTTTTCAAATTGTATGAGTGATAGATATTTGTGTATAAATCATTATAAGTTTGTGCATCTAATGAAAGAAAAATTGAATCAACTTACACTGTACACAAATTACAAACAAATGCAGAAAATTATAAAGGATGGAACTGAAACCTGAATGACAGCAGAGAAACAGATAAAATTTAATCATGTGTTGGACATTATTGTACTTTTTTCAAAATAAAGTGCACCTCAACAAAACATGATAAGCCCATCAAATACTGTCAAATATCATAAATAGATTAGAATGCAAGGAAGAAAATCACGTTATCCGTGGCACAAAGATTTCTCCATTCCAAATGTTTGATGTGCTTTTTCTAAGGTGTATTTTTTAATTAGAACAAATAATACATCATTTATTTTTCAACTGGTTGCGTATGAGTTTTAGAGGTGCCCATCTGCAGCTTTGTTCATTGTTAAGGAATACAGAACAACGTTACAGCCTAAGTAATAAAACATCAAAAGACTAATCTTTATTCTTTGACTGTAAAACTGTCATCTCAACAAGACATGACACTCTGCAATTTGTTATTAGATATAAAAAATAATTCAATAAAAATATCAAATTAATTCCTAAATTGTACACGAAGTTAATTTTGAAAGTAATGGCTTGCCAATAAGAACTTTTTTATTTGAAATATGCTATCAATTGCATGTAAGAGGCCAGATTCTTCTGCCCAATTCCAAGAGATATAGCTATGGATAGTACCTGCTTGATCAGAGATGTTCTACCAGAAATCTTTTTACAGTAAAGTCAATTATCTCTGATTGGACAATTTTTCTCTTATCAAAATGCTCTTTGAAACACCATTGCTTGATAATTACACCCATGGGACAAGTGGAATTTCTCTTCTTATTCACAAAACAAATTATATACTGTTAAATATTGCTGTATAGTATACATATATCATGAAAAAAGTGCATTTTCTTGAGTTAACATTTTGAATATAATAAGTGAAATACTTTTATATCTGTTGGGACTGTGTAAATTAAAAAAAAAATTTTTAAATGTCACATTTATTAAATGTTACATTGATCTTTTTACTGGATGTGAGAAACTGTTTATCTAAGATGCATTAATTGACCAAGTATGATGATTCCAGGTTTAATAGTTATGAGCCGGGCAGGATTTTTCCATATTTGGCCATATCATCTTAATTAAAGGTCACTGCGACCTACTTTTAATGTGCGACAGACCTTCTACCCAAGATGTTTCAACTGACAAAGTTTGATTACTCTAGGCCCCATAGTATTTAAGACACGAAAATGCTAACAGACAGACAGACAGACAGTATTGAACTCCATACAATACATGTATGTCCCGTCTTAAGACAGCATACTGTTACTGCATATTAAACTGTGTGTGGGAACTCCAATTAAAAGCTAACAATGATATCTGATAATTTATATATAGTAATTTCAAGTTACTAGTAATTACAGCCTAATTACATTGTACCAAATATCTTTATAGAAAACTTGTAAGTAATATCTTCTTTTATAAAATACTGTACTGGAAGATGTTCATGGTTTAGATTGAATTTGTACACATCATTTATGCATTACAAAGACACTTGCACTATATTCTTTACATGTATTGTATATATATGTATGTAATATCAAACATAATGCTAGGCATCTAAATAAACATCTAGAGATAAACCTGGTCTAGTACTTAAAAAGGTAAAGCACAAGCTCTTCTTAACAACTGATCACAAAAAATATATGAAATTTAAAAAGAAACTAAAATAATAAATAGTGAGATGATGAAAATGGATATAAATATGAGTTGCTTTGCACATGTGGAAAATTTGAGCAATAACATTCAAATATCATGATTTCTGATAACTAATAATCACAACCAAAAGGTAGTTCATCCATGCAATGTACCATCTTCATCTATGTATATGACGTAATCAAAACAAACTGTATCTTATAAAAAAACAATCACATGCTGCAAAAATATCAAGCCACTGTAAAAAAAAACACACTAATACCAAAATACTAAAACTAAATCTCAGATTTATCTAATCTCTGCAAAATAAACGAGCACTAGTCCATGGATAAACATAAATAATTTGTATTTAAAGGAACAAGCATACTATAAAACATTCATTACAACCATTTTTTACGGTACTTTGCATTTCAATCAAAATGTCTAAGAATACAATGCAAAACTAAAAAATTAGTTCTCTTCTTTAAAGCTGATTGGTTGAAATCAAAAATATCAAAACGGCAAAAAAAATAAACATGCTAAAGACAACCACTGGAGAAACAAACTCAAAACTTTTTAACAGCCTAATTTATCTTCATCTCTGTATTAAAGTTTCAGATATGCATGTACAGTAAAACTCAGTAATACGGAAGTCATTGGGACCTAGAATTTTACTTCCTTATTTATAAACAAGACTCTTTTTAGCCATGTAAGAATCATAGTGAAAAGTCCTCTTTGGGATTAGTAAAAAGTTCTTTATATTTTTCTTTTTCTTTACAACAAAGTTTTACTGTTAGTACGATTTTTTTTCAAATGGATTAAGTCAACCAATTAGCAATTTTAAAGGAGCACTTGTCAATGTCAATTGTTGAAAGTGTGAATTTTTCATCGCAAATTAATTTCTTTTCTAACTTTCTTATTTTTTAAAATTTTATAAAGAAGTGAATTAAGTCACGTTACTGTGCACCTGCATAAAATAAATTGATGCAATCTTCACAAACAATATATCTAATACTGTACATGGTCTTCTTTGAATTATAAACTAAGCACTCTGAAAATTTTCACATCAATAGAACTCAGATTTCTAAAATACAATTTACTTCTGCCATGCATGTGAGTCAATAACAAAATACAAAAAAACCCCACCTAAACAAAGAAACCATTCATCTTCCTAAGGGACTGTATACATACTAAGGTTTATTTTTTGAAGGTTGACTTTGTTTTTGATTCTTCATTTCCTCTTGTCTTTTTTTAATCAGTTCATTTAATTTGGTCCTGACAATGTTGAGGTGATTAATTATGTACTGTTCCGTGGGCGCCATATTGTGGACCGCTGTCAGACATTTCTCTGCACGGATCAGGTCGCCGCGCTCCACGTGCACCACACACAGATTGTGGTGGGCCTGGACATTTTTTGGTTCCAGCTGTACCACGCGGGCAAAGTTCTTTTCAGCCTCGTCAAGCTTTTTGAGGGCATTCACATTAATGTCTCCCATCAGTAGTAAGGCTTTGGTATGTTCTGGGTAATGCTGCAATGGAATTTATCAAATAAATAAAATCTGAATACACATATTTTAAAATTGGTAAAAGACACATGTATGTTCATGTATGAAGTTTTGTACCTGGAGATCAATTATTCTGATTTAATATTTAAAACAAAATGTTTAAAAAAAAATGCTATAAAATTTTATCTCTAAGTATATAGGATTTGCTCAATTATGCAATAGCACTACTTATTCAAGTAACCGAACATTACAACTAAGAATGTTAAAAATGTAAAGTCCCATTTGTAACACTATTAATAAAATATCGACATTTGGAAGTAAACACAGCAAAATCATTCATTTTAATTGTCATTTATTAATGTCATGATCAGGGTTTGAATGTAAATCAGGTTATACATGTATTTAATTAAATACTGAGAAGCAATTCGAGGAATGTCTCGTAAAATACACGCAATTTAATTTCCATACTGGTTATATGGCTATACACACTGTTATAGACTCAGAATTTGAAAAAACAAAAAAAAAAACTGTAAAGCAGAACAAAGCTTATTATTCATATAGATGTAACTTATATAAGCATGTTATAACAGACATGTACATTACATACAGTAAATCTATTTGTCATTATATATACATGTATCTATACGATTAAAAACAACAGTTGTATACCTTGAAGTGTTCGTTCTACATAAAATTAAATGAAGTAGGATGTATATTGTATATTGTATACTGTATATATTGTATATTGTATACTGTATATTGTATATTGTATATTGTATAGTCTCTATTATGCAATAAAATTACATTTCAAAAAGCTTAAAACACTTTTCCCATAGTTTTAATAAATGGTCATTTTACAAAAGACTTTGAAGTGTTTAATTAAAAATTGATTACTGGTAATGTCAAATTTTGCAATTTCTTTCAGAAAAAACTGAAATCTTTAATCAATTACAGTAAAACTCCAGATATGCTGCCCTGCAGAGAAAATTGTTAAATTTACTGATCAATTAAGAAGCTTTTCTGTCAGTAATTAATCATCACTTGTAATCTGTCCTTACAATGAATGTACTTACCTCAATGAGAGTTTCCAGGTATGGAATAGCATCTAGAGGGCGGTTTAAGTTGTTGTTTAACATCAGGGCCAGGTTAAATAAGGCACTCCTGAAGAATGGGTCAAACTAAGAGAAAAAAAAAATAAAAATTCATGCATTTTCAATTTTATCACATTTTAAAGTTTTGATAGTCACATAAAAGTATCTGCCATACAGGTAAAAGTGAAAAAAGGTCAACACATGACAGGAATATGCAAAATTGTTTAAAAAAAAAATATCAAAAATTATTGACTTTATTTTTCTGAGCTCCTTAAAATCAATGTAAGGCCAAATACATAAAGAAAGGTTTTGCAATAAATGTCTGTACAATTTGGATAATGTCCCCATGCATCCTTCTTCTAGTATTTGGTATCAAACAAAGCAATATTGCTCTGAACTTCTATAAGTATATGTACTTAGCCAAGATAACAGTTCAGCATTTTAGTGCTCAGGTACACGTAACTGTAATTACAAAGTGCTAAAGTAAATCTCTGACTTAAGGACCCTCTACACACTGAGAAACTTTTTTTTTAGACTTTGAGAAAATCATAAGGTATAAAGGTTTAAATATTGAGTTAGTCAATTCCATCTTCAACACAGAATAAATGCCATTCTTCCCCAGGAAAAAAAATATTCAAAGACAACAAAGTATTGATGAACAGAAATCACTGATGTGTATTAAAATGGGAAAAAAATACTATGATGCAAATGAAGTATTCAGTTCCTTCACCAGGTCTGATGAAATGTTAAGAATATTGGAATTAAAGAATGTATAGTATACCATAGATTATCAAATCAAAGAGAGATAACTCTGCACAAAAATACCATGAATTAGAACTCTTCAGTGTACAGTGTGTACAGGGTCGTTAGGTATGCAAAAATAAATTCTCTGACCTTGATGCAGTTTTTGAAGTCCTTCTCGGCCTCCAGGTAATCTTTCATGTCCATATGGATCATTCCCAGGGTAAAATAGTACTTGGGTTCTTTAGGATCCTTCTTTACTAGTTTTGAAAGTCTGCACATAAAAAAATCATTAAATAAAAATAACTGGTATGAAATAATTAATCAAACAATTAATATGCTCCAATCTCATTTCATATCATTCTAATACATACATCAATGAATTGACATTATCACATTGCACAGCACAAGAAAGTTTTATATTTAAAACATATATGTAAATGTACAAGCAAATCAAAAGATCTGCTTAGGGTCAGAACACCCCCCCCCCATATTCTATTTATCTAGTGGCATACATCAGTGAGAAATAAGAAGCCTGCTTGTACTCCTACCTTCTAATGGCCTCTGGCCACTGTCTCTGTTCCCCAGACTCTTGAATCATTATCGCAGAGTTGTAGAGCGATTGCTGAAATGAAATGACAGATGGTGAAAGTTTGCTCTTTTTTGGCCAAAAATTTAGCTTCAAAACATTTCTATGACATTAATAGCAAGATATTAATGAATTGCCACATATACATGAAATTACACACTAAACAAACTTATCTAGTACAGAACATGTACATACATAAATACAGCATGCATGAAAAAAAGATCTTGATATTTATAAATTTTTGCACACCTCATGATCTGGTTCATGAATAAGAGCCGTTTCAAAACTCTTTCTGGCCTCTTCTGGTCGTCCCAGCTCCAGTAAAACCACTCCTATCTGATAGAGAACCAAGAAATGTACATGTACACATCAGTTATAAGTTAATATCAAAGTAATGTACATGTACACATAAGTTAATATCAAAGTAATGTACATGTACACATCAGTTATAAGTTAATATCAAAGAAATGTACATATCAGTTATAAGTTAATATCAAAGTAATGTACATGTACACATCATTTATCAGTTAATATCAAAGCTGAACACATTTAAGTCACAGAGACAAGATGCCATATTTACATTGTAGTGAACATCTGCATTGTCAGGTTCATATTTCAGGGCCACCTTATAAACTTCTAATGCTTCTTCTTTTCTGTAAAATACAAAACATTTTATCCAAATTTGAACATTTGAATATTGTATACCTTCTATTCTTTTGTGATATTTTAAGGATACACCAAAGGTTTCCAAATGCCGGAATTTAATTTGCATGTAATTCTTTCATTATCAAAGATAACATAATAAATGTATATATCACTTGAAAGCTTGTTAAATTCACTATTTAATTATCCTAACTTAAACTTTAATTAATAACTTATTTAAAAATTATTTAAATATTAATGTAAATTTTAGTGCATAAATATTTTATAAATCAACTTTTTTGTATTTAACCCCTCAAAGTGGTAATTTTGCCTCAAGGTAGATTAAAGATTGAACTTAAAAACTGTATCTCAGATTTTTGATAAATCTTCTAATTCAAAAGTTACAGCCATTTGTCCTTCAATGTTAACAATTTATTAGCCTAATTTAACATTTCCATCGATATTTCCATACCTAAGCTAGATATCAAAAATCTGAGATACGGTTTTGTGAACACACATTTGAGAAGCAACCCATCCAATTTTCAGAGAAATTGGTCCATAAATAAGGGAGCTGAATCCTTTGAAATAATACCACAAACTGTCTGATCTTACTTTACAGTAGAGGGCAAAAACCCATTACACAACAAAATCTGCCAAAGCGAGGAATATATGACACCTTGGAGATTCAGCTTTGGATACCTGTCACTTAGCCATATTTTCCATGCATATTCACAAGAATGGGAGGTTCTTTTCTGTATTTAGATGCTTTTAATTAAGTAAAATAGGTTCAATTCTGAATCAGAAAGATTTCCCGGCAAAATGGCAAGAGCTAAGCTCCACCTCCTATTTTATGGTCATCAGTGATCTGTAAGATCTCCTTCTCTAAATCTAGAGTCCCTGTAGTTTAATTACTGATAACCTCTGTGTGGCTAGTGAAGAATTCCCCAAGTGGTCACAGTGATTTATTGCGTCTTTCGTGAGCAGGCAGTCACAGATCAAATCAGAAGCTTCAATAACGGAACATTCACATGTGGTAGTGTTTATGTTTCATTATTGTTAAATAATTAGAAAACCATTTCATAATTACCAAAAATTTTACATGCATTAGAAAGGAGTGATTAACTTCTTTTTCTTAGCCAAAAATCTCAAAATTGTTGAAAATCTTGAAAAAAGCCTTTGGTGTATCCTTAAAGCAAGCTGAACATTTTCATTCAGTAACCTGAGGAAAAGTTTTCACATTTTCACCACTAACTGTCCCAGTTAAACCAGAATATCTCCTCTGTTTATGTATCCCTGTATTTACTGCCCAGTTAAACCAGAATGTCTCCTCTGTTTATGTATCCCTGTACTTACTGTCCCAGTTTAACCAGAATGTCCTCTGTTTATGTATCCCTGTACTTACTGTCCCAGTTTAACCAGAATGTCCTCTGTTTATCCTGTACTTACTGTCCCAGTTTAACCAGAATGTCCCCTCTGTTTATGTATCTCTGTACTTACTGTCCCAGTTTAACCAGAATGTCCCCTCTGTTTATGTATCCCTGTGCTTACTGTCCCAGTTTAACCAGAATGTCCCCTCTGTTTATGTATCTCTGTACATACTGTCCCAGTTTAACCAGAATGTCCCTTCTGTTTATGTATCCCTGTACTTACTGTCCAAGTTTAACCAGAATGTCTCCTCTGTTTATGTATCTCTGTACTTACTGTCCCAGTTTAACCAGAATGTCCCCTCTGTTTATGTATCCCTGTGCTTACTGTCCCAGTTTAACCAGAATGTCCCCTCTGTTTATGTATCTCTGTACATACTGTCCCAGTTTAACCAGAATGTCCCTTCTGTTTATGTATCCCTGTACTTACTGTCCAAGTTTAACCAGAATGTCTCCTCTGTTTATGTATCCCTGTACTTACTGTCCCAGTTTAACCAGAATGTCCTCTGTTTATGTATCCCTGTACTTACTGTCCCAGTTTAACCAGCATGTCCCTCTATTTATGTATCCCTGTACTTACTGTCCCAGTTTAAACAGAATGTCCCCTCTGTTTATGTATCCCTGTACTTACTGTCCCAGTTTAACCAGAATGTCCTCTGTTTATGTATCCCTGTACTTACTGTCCCAGTTTAACCAGAATGTCCTCTGTTTATGTATCCCTGTACTTACTGCCCCAGTTTAACCAGAATGTCCCCTCTGTTTATGTATCCCTGTACTTACTGTCCCAGTTTAACCAGAATGTCTCCTCTGTTTATGTATCCCTGTACTTACTGTCCCAGTTTAAACAGAATGTCCTCTGTTTATGTATCCCTGTACTTACTGTCCCAGTTTAACCAGAATGTCCTCTGTTTATCCTGTACTTACTGTCCCAGTTTAACCAGAATGTCTCCTCTGTTTATGTATCTCTGTACTTACTGTCCCAGTTTAACCAGAATGTCCCCTCTGTTTATGTATCCCTGTACTTACTGTCCAAGTTTAACCAGAATGTCCCCTCTGTTTATGTATCCCTGTACTTACTGTCCCAGTTTAACCAGAATGTCCCTTCTGTTTATGTATCCCTGCACTTACTGTCCCAGTTTAACCAGAATGTCTCCTCTGTTTATTTATCCCTGTACTTACTGTCCCAGTTTAACCAGAATGCCCCCTCTGTTTATGTATCTCTGTACTTACTGTCCCAGTTTAACCAGCATGTCCCTCTATTTATGTATCCCTGTACTTACTGTCCCAGTTTAAACAGAATGTCCCCTCTGTTTATGTATCTCTGTACTTACTGTCTAAGTTTAACCAGAATGTCCCCTCTGTGTATGTATCCCTGTACTTACTGTCCCAGTTTAACCAGAATGTCCCCTCTGTTTATGTATCTCTGTACTTACTGTCCCAGTTTAACCAGAATGTCCTCTGTTTATGTATCCCTGTACTTACTGTCCCAGTTTAACCAGCATGTCCCTCTATTTATGTATCCCTGTACTTACTGTCCCAGTTTAAACAGAATGTCCCCTCTGTGTATGTATCCCTGTACTTACTGTCTAAGTTTAACCAGAATGTCCCCTCTGTTTATGTATCTCTGTACTTACTGTCTAAGTTTAACCAGAATGTCTCCTCTGTTTATGTATCCCTGTACTTACTGTCCCAGTTTAAACAGAATGTCCCCTCTGTTTATGTATCCCTGTACTTACTGTCACAGTTTAACCAGAATGTCCCCTCTGTTTATGTATCCCTGTACTTACTGTCACAGTTTAACAAGCATGTCCCCTCTGTTCATGTATCCCTGTACTTACTGTCCCAGTTTAACCAGAATGTCCCCTCTGTTTATGTATCTCTGTACTTACTGTCCCAGTTTAACCAGAATGTCTCCTCTGTTTATGTATCCCTGTACTTACTGTCCCAGTTTAACCAGAATGTCCCTTCTGTTTATGTATCTCTGTACTTACTGTCCCAGTTTAACCAGAATGTCCCCTCTGTTTATGTATCCCTGTACTTACTGTCCCAGTTTAACCAGAATGTCCCTTCTGTTTATGTATCTCTGTACTTACTGTCCCAGTTTAACCAGAATGTCCCCTCTGTTTATGTATCCCTGTACTTACTGTCACAGTTTAACCAGAATGTCCCCTCTGTTTATGTATCCCTGTACTTACTGTCACAGTTTAACAAGCATGTCCCCTCTGTTTATGTATCCCTGTACTTACTGTCCCAGTTTAACCAGAATGTCCCCTCTGTTTATGTATCTCTGTACATACTGTCCCAGTTTAACCAGAATGTCCCCTCTGTTTATGTATCCCTGTACTTACTGTCCCAGTTTAACCAGAATGTCCCCTCTGTTTATGTATCTCTGTACTTACTGTCCCAGTTTAACCAGAATGTCCCCTCTGTTTATGTATCCCTGTACTTACTGTCCCAGTTTAACCAGAATGTCTCCTCTGTTTATGTATCCCTGTACTTACTGTCCAAGTTTAACCAGAATGTCCCCTCTGTTTATGTATCCCTGTACTTACTGTCCCAGTTTAACCAGAATGTCCCCTCTGTTTATGTATCCCTGAATGTAATCTGGTCTCATACTAACTGCCGTCTTCAGGTACTATGAAAACAAGAGGCCCATGGGCCTTGAATCGCTCTTCTGATAAACTGTACAACCTATCACTTCTATTTGAAGCCTGGAAGTATCCTGTATATTTAGATAAACCCTTGAAATTCCAATTCACACTCTGAGAACCCAAGATGATTCTAAGCCAATTAGTACCTGGGAGTTGGTCATGGTGACCTACTTATCACTTGTCATTCTCTGAAGACCCATCAACTAAGTTTGATGATTCTAAGCCAATTAATACCTAAAATACTTTTTAAAATTATAAACATTAAATTTTATAAGTAGGTCAAAGTGACTTACTTTTCAATTGTTTTACTCCAAGGACCCAAGATGCAAAAGTTTGATGATTCTAAGCCAATTAGTACCTGTAATATTTAATTAAAGCCATAAATTTTCAAAAGGAGGTCACCGTGACCTACTTTTCAGTTGCTGTACTCCGAGGACCAAAGATACATCGACTGACAAAGTTTGATGATTCTAGCCAATAAGTACCCAAAATATTTAATTACAGTCATAAATTTTCAAAAGTAGGTCACGGTGACCTACTTTTCAGTCAACCTACTCCGAGGACCAAAGATGCATCAACTGACAAATTTTGACAACTCTAAGCCAAATAATTCCTGAAAATATTAAATACAGCCATAAAATTTCAAAAGTAGGTCACGGTGACCTACTTTTCAGTTGTTGTACTCCGAGGACCCAAGACGCATCAACTGACAAAGTTTAAAGATTCTAAGCCAATTAGTACCCGAAATATTTGACTAAAGACATAAATTTTCATAAGTAGGTCACCGTGACCTACTTTTCAGTTGTTGTACTCCGAGGACCCATGACGCTTAAACTGACAAAGTTTTATGATTCTAAGCCAATTAGTACCCAAAATATTTAATTAAAGCCATAAATTTTCCGAAAGTATGTCATGGTGACCTACTTTTTAGTCGACCTACTCCGAAAACCATGAGGCATCAACTGACAAAGTTTGATGATTCTAAGCCAATTAGTACCCGAAATATTTAATTAAAGCCATAAATTTTCAAAAGTAGGTCACGGTGACCTACTTTTTAGTCGACCTACTCTGAAGACCCAAGATGCATCAACTGACAAAGTTTGATGATTCTAAGCCAATTAGTACCCATAATATTTAATTAAAGCCATAAATTTTCAAAAGTAGGTCACTGTGACCTACTTTTTAGTCGACCTACTCCGAAGACCCATGAGGCATCAACTGACAAAGTTTGATGATTCTAAGCCAATTAGTACCCGGAATATTTAATTAAAGCCATAAATTTTCAAAAGGAGGTCACCGTGACCTACTTTTTAGTCGACCTACTCTGAAGACCCAAGAGGCATCAACTGACAAAGTTTGATGATTCTAAGCCAATTAGTACCTGAAATATTTAATTATAGTCATATAAATTGAAAAGTAGGTCACGGTAACCTACTTTTCAGTTGACCTTTTTTGAGGACCCAAGATGCATCAACTTACAAAGTTTTATGATCATAGGACTTTTAAAAAATGTCCAAATTATGCCTCTAAAACGCTTTGAAATCGAATGCCTGCAAAGTTCAAAAAGTAGGTCACTGTGACCTACTTTTTAATAAATATGTTTTATGGCCCCAAGATGCATCATCTTACAAGATTTAATGATTCTAAGCCTCCCCGTATTCGAATTAATGATCTTAATTGTTTTAAAAAAGATTAGCCATAAAATTCAAAAAGTAGGTCAAGGTGACCTACTTTTTAGTTGACGTACTTTGAGGACCCAAGATGCATCAACTGACAAAGTTTGATGATCATAGGCCTTAAATTGTTCAAAATATGCCTCTAAATCATTTTGAAAAAGAATGGCCGCAAAATTTAAAAAGTAGGTCACCGTGACCTACTTTTGAGTCAACATGATATGAGGTCCTTAGATGCACCAACTGACAAGATTTGATGGTCCTAGTCCTTATAGTAAGCAAAATATCAACATTTTAATAAAATGTAATTTTTGGTCAACTTTGAAGTGACCTTGAGACCACGCCCTTTGCCCCAGGGTAAATCCCTGCGCAAATTTTAATCTACAACATATCCTCATCCTTTTGTGTAAGTTTGGTGATAATCTACCCAGTGGTTCTTGTGAAGAAGATTTTTTAGCAACCAGTACTTTTGTTTCTATTTTCCTAATTATCTCCCCTTGTTTAAGGGTCACAACCCCAGTTTTAGTATAAAAGGATACAAGGATACCCTGTGACAAATTTGACAATAATTGGCCAAGGGGTTCTTGAGTTATGGCCCATATTCTAAAAAGTTTACGCACACCGCACAAATGGCCATAGCATTAGCTCTTTGAGCCTTTGGCTCAGAAGAGCTAAAAATTAATAATAATTGCTTTTTTATTCTGAGAACAACTTTTTAAAATTTGTTTGAAGTAATATTGGTTGCATTTATCTTCCAGCCATTGAAAAAAGTCCTTGAAGTATTGAGTACAATTCATAAAATATACTTTATAAATCAGCTGAGTTCATATGTAACTGCATGTTATTATGAATACATTTACAAATGGAAATATGTGATCATGAACCCTTATCTATAGTCCATATATAATGTCATATCATGACAGAATAACTATACACTTTAAGTAAACTCTTTAATTGAACAGCATGACTGTGTCAATAATCATTACAGTACTAAAAATATAAGGAAAAGATATTTTTGTTTAAATAACTAGCTACATGTAGTATGCGTACCTTATCCGCCTCCAACAGCCTGGTGGGATCTTTGCTGACAAGGGATGCCAGGTTGAGATAAACGTTCAGGTGATTCGGAGCAATACGAGCCTGGTAACTTTTGCCTTTAAAAATAAGTAAAAAAAAAAGCCTTTCATGAAAATTAGGAAATACTATTTGAGACATATACAGCTCCCTCCATCATGTCCATTCCTCATCAAAAAATTTAAAGTTAAGTCTGCCACTGAATAAATGATGTAACTCTGCTGGAGTTAAAACTTTGACACTGAATTCCATACTGGAAAACAGTAATCTCGATTTTTTTTTAATCATATTTAATATTTATAATTATTATATTTTCATATATGATAAATCATTATCTCAAGTTCAAACAGGCAAATGGTAATCTCTTTTTTTACCCCATCAAATATACATTTATTTTTTTTTTTAATAATTGATTAATTACAATGCCTAGTGTAATAAGTTACAGTTACCGGGCTGTACTTGAGGGAAGTAACTGAGAGCTTTCTTGTAGGCAGCCTCGGCTTTCTTTGACATGTTCATGTTGTTGTATGTTCTCCCTACATTTATGTGGGCTCCAATGTCGTCATGTTGAACACTTAAATAAGACAGCAGGAAATCACACATTAGATAACTAATTCTGTGAGGAATACGGCTTCGAATTAAAGATTTAATTGGTTAAAAGTAATATTTACAAATACATTGCAACATGTCAATACAGGATATAAAATATGAATGCCTATAAATACATTTTTCTGTAAGTCCCATGGAGTAAATATAGTCCTCTTGAATGCTTTCCTTTGATGGACCACAATAAATACGAGTCCTCATAAAGATGTTAAGTGAAGGGAGAAAAAAAAACAGATAATACAGTGCATTTTACTTATAACATTTACTCTAGTAGCTTTAATGCTTGCATAATTGTGACAGAGTGAAATTTGTAAATATTTTTATCAATTTATTATGATTAATTAATTTATTATTTTCATTATTTAGAAACATCATTTGCAACACATGAGTTTGTTGAATATATATATATATATTTATATATATATATATATATGTATATATATATATATATATATATATATATATATATATATATATATATATATATATATTAGGGATGTTAACGAATATTCGAACATTCGAATATTCATTCGATGAGTTGATATTCGAATATAAATTTAAGATTCGAATATTCGGTGTTTTACAGATTTCATAAAAAGAAGTACTGTGATTAATAAATTTTGAATAAACGAAAACCTTCTTGGAATGTCTAAAAGACGTGAAGAGTATACTAATCAAAACAAATTCAATTGATCATTGAATGAGTGTCTGATAGAATTCGTCTGTAATTGATATTGTAAAGGGCTTAATTTCAGAATAAATGTGTAAATTACTTGATTATCTCGGGTTGTACATAATCCTGAATTTTATATTCAATATCGGAAAATTAATTGATTGCCTAGGAAAATTGTCCATGGAAATATTTCTGTTTATATTTTAAAAATATTCTTTTAAAGATTATAATCATATCTCTTATCAGGCTAATAATTGTAATTAATAACACGTATTGAAAACTAAACAGTATACAACAATCCTGCCTTTGGTAAGAAGACTAGTTCCTCAGTTAGAGCTACTATAAATTTATTATATTATTAAATTTGTTAAAATCATATTTTTCGACATTTAAATCAATTATTTATTTCAATCATTGACAAATATCAAATGGAATTCCTAATTTTACACCTACAAAAGCCTTCACACAATCTTACTTCCAATATAAGAATACCAACGCTAAACCTTTCATGGGAGTAGGATGATGCATATTTAAAATACACCAGATTTATTTATGTTATCGAATATTCGAATATATTCGAATACTTTCATTGAATATTCGAATATGAATTTTTGACAAAATTGACATCCCTAATATATATATATATATATATATATATATATATATATATATATATATATATATATATATATATATATATATTAAACCATTGTAAGTTATTTTCTAAATAAGTATACCACTCATGTGAATATTTTTAACTTTTATACACTAGCTATATTTAGAGGGAATACCCTTTCCTTGAATTCCATTGGTCAGTTATGGTCAATTGTAGGGAATTTGATCATGTGATAATTTTGGAGGGAATTTTCCTATTGTGTTAAGTAGTTCCTGTGCTGAAGTCTGTTGAAAGTGTCAGTCAGTTTATTGAAATTTTTATGCTGTAATTGGAACTTATTCTCATAATCAGATAGAATTCTCATGATCAGATGATGTACGTAGCCTAAACTTATTGATAAACGACCTTTACACCTCATGTGAGGGTTAAAATCTCAACTGATCAACTGTATGTGTCTATCATTAACTGTTTCAAAATAAATGATGTAAAGGTTGATTGGAGTCATTCCTTGGTGAAGTTGAACCGCCCTAAGACCCTGGGTTACATAATAATTTTTGACAACTTGCTTTTGATGAATGTTTTGTGAAAATTTGTGCTTTGAAGAAATTTACAACCTACTAATTTCATTTTTGTGCTTTAGAGTAAAGAGAGACACTTCTGCATTCCCTTATGAAAGGCTGCAAGGGAATATCTAACATCCATTACAAACCTGACAGCCTTCTCGAAGTACTCCAGAGCTTCAGAATATTTCTCATACTTCTCTAATGCATGACCCACATTGTTAAATAGTTTGGCATTTTTGGTATTGACTTTTAATGCTGATCTAAAAATGCTGTATTCAGATTCCCTGCAAGTCAAAAAAAAAAAAACTTAAGATAAACTTATACATAATCAGATTTAGATAGGATAACATTCCTTAATGAAATTCAACTTTTTAAATTAAGGAAAAAAAACACCATTAACAATTAGTTTGCTTTTAAAAGTTCATAGTCTATGAAACATGCATCATTAATTGACAATTCTTAGCATGTTTTATAAAATCTGTACATCTGTGCATATTTTTACCAACATGTAAATGAAATTTTCCATGTATAATTAGTACATATTTAAATTCAAAAATATACTATGTGTGTGACCATTCTATGAAAAAAAAATTAAATTAATGTCTTTATCATATAGTTATACAAAATATTCCTACAATGTAAATGATCATAAAAAAAAAATAGAAAAATAACATACAACATGTATAGTGTTACATTAACTTCCTTACCATTCTCCGTTCCGTACAAAGGTTTTCAGACTGTGAGTCAAAAGAAGCATCCCCAACATAGCCCACAGTAATGGCTTTAGATTCCTGGGGGGAAATTGAAAACAACCAGCTATAATTATTGACGGATAAATTTACATATGACAAAATAAAGGGACAATACTTTTTTTTTTGGTTAGATATTGCAAAGGGAGGTAACAAGTACATTTAACATTGACTTCTGAATTTGTGGGTTTCTGTTATTACAGACCCTAAAACGTGCTACTACACCACTTGCACGGTTTGGTTCGTTTCGTTTTGTGTACGGTACAGTACGCTTCCTGCACGGAACGGTACGCTTTGTGAACGGTACGGTTCGCTTAGTGCACGGTACGGTACGCTTCTTGCACGGTACGGTTCGTTTTGTGTACGGTACGGTTCGCTTTGTGCACGGTACGGTACGCTTCTTGCACGGAACGGTTCGTTTTGTGAACGGTACGCTTTGGTGAACGGTATGTAAATTAAGTGGGCGGAGCCTGTACGCTTTAGATTATGATTGGCTACTTCATAAAGTCGTTTATTTCTTTATTATAATCTCTTTATTTGATATAAATGGAAGGACGGTGTCGCAAGCATTTTTTAATAAGTTGTTTTTAAGTTAAAACTTTTATAAATATTTCCTTTTTACAGCTGTATTTTTGTTATTAAATGTAACAAGTCGTCTTAATAACTGTATCTTTTTTTTATTTACTTTCTGTATGAACTACTTTCAATTTTTAAAATAAATAATTATAGTTGTCTATTTTTTATCTTATTTTGTACAACATCGCCTTATGGTTCAATTAAACTTGGAAAGAAATCGAACATATCAACAAACACTGTATAAGAAGGATGAAAAAAATATTTTGGTTGCGTTGCCATAAAAGGCCTTTCTGTATTTTTTTTAACGAATAAGCGTACATATGTTTTTTTTTTCCTTTAAGTTTTCCTAATTGAATACAATTATTATTTTAAATATTCACTTATCACACTTTTAAGTAAATGAGATTGATTTTATAAATCGCTCATGCTTTCATTTCGTCTACCATTCTTTTTACGTTCTTGTCACTGCTGCTTCCTTAAAAAAACACAAACAAACAAACAAACAAAAAAATTTCTCTTGACCGAATGATCAAACAAGTTATTAGTTTTATTTGCGAGGAATTATATTTTTTTTTACATTGATTTCTTAGGTGTTTGGATCACTAGGAAAAATACATTGAAAAGTAATCGGTAGAAGTGCACACAATAAGTGCAAAATATTACTTATTTTTTGTGCGCGTAATTGTTTTCCTTTTAACATAAATTTTCCATCAATGTGTAAAAACGTTTTTTGAAGGGAAGTTACAATCAAGAAAACGGTTAAGACAGCGACAATTCCATCTACAATGTATAAATGTATATAATATATATTGACGGCAAGACAGATTTCCGAAATAACTAATGTCAAAATGTTAGAAATAAATAGTCCGTTTTCAATTACTCTCCCCCCCCCTTCTTTGTTTCCTTGTCAAACTCGCTTTTTTATTGAAGATCTAGAAGAAAAGCTGACTGCACATGAAATTCTGTTTAAATCTGCTGATTAAAACTGATTCGTTGTTGAAGACTTACTGTTAAAGACAGCAAACTGTTGATACACGTGTGAATGTAAGCGTATCTGGACTAACGGGATTAGATACAGTTCAATATACACAGCTCAAGTTTTTACCTGTGCACGTGTGAAGACAATACTTGATCGAAATTTTCAAATGTTTTAGAGTAAATAACGAAAGTATAGAAAGACGTCAGTCTAGATAACGAGACCATGGCAAGAAATGTACAGTATTTCTTTAAAAAAAATCTTGGATGAACACGCATGCACGGACTAAGTATTTTTTTTTTTAATTAAACTGGGCTTTTTGTGTAAATTCCAGGTTACATATTTTACCTGCAGATTTCAGTGAATAAAGCAAATGAAATGGGAAAATGTTTTAAATAAAAATTAATTCTGACATATATCCAGTTTTTTTTTTTTTTTTTTTTTTTTTTTTTTTTTTTTTGATTACGTGTATTAAACTGAAAATTCCATGCGAAAATGTGGCGATCGAACTTTTTGACAGTATGTTATATTGGCGATAACATCTTGAGTTGGTCAGAAGAGTGTAAACCGACACATATTATTTATATATACATCGCTTTTATTTATTTTTTCTGGTGATTGAGAGGCGTTTACATTTTAACATGTTCGCTTTCAAATTGATAATTTAGTTCGTAATTTTTTTTTTAATTTTGTTGTTGTTGTTGTTGCTAAATCTGTAATCAATTCTCCCTAAAACTATTACTTACATGAATAAAAAATGATTTTAAGGGCTTGGTTTCGGAAAATAGCACAGAATCCTAATACATTTTTCGGTGTGTCTTGGTTTCCGAGAACGTTCATAGAGACAAGAATAGGGTAGATAAAGGCTATAGAAATAAACGATAAAGTACACTGTATTTAATTCACTTTTATTTATTATAAATTGTACACGAAAATATTACGATGCTGCATTTAATACGGAAAAAAATGTTAGTCAAGCATATCCCGATCATGCATAGCGAATAAAGAATCGCCTCACACTCTGTCGAGTTGTTTTGAAGTCGTAACTACTTTCCTTATATTAACAGACGTTAGTCCAGATGCATGGTACTTAATAATAATATTTTGAATCTCTAGGGTAATTTTCTGTCCTTCTTGAACTGGCGCTGCGTCGAAAGAAATAAAAGAAAATTACTTACTGTATTCGGTCATTGCAAGATTCGGAATGCTTTCGGGGCGTGGCTTGCATAATTATTTCAAAAATTATTCATGAACGGTACGGTACGGTACGCTTCTTGCACGGTACGGTTCGTTTTGTGTACGGTACGGTTCGCTTTGTGCACGGTACGGTACGCTTCTTGCACGGTACGATTCGTTTTGTGTACGGTACGGTTCGCTTTGTGCACGGTATGGTACGCTTCTTGCACGGTACGGTACGCTTCTTGTATGGAACGGTACAGTTCGTTTCCGAGGTGTAGTAGCACATTTTAGGGTCTGTAGTTTACAATGACTTTCTTCTCAGTTATATCATTCTTATTAACAAAGTTATCGAATGAGTGTTTTTATCGAAGGGAAGTAACTCAAAATTTGACATCTATACAAATACAATCATGTATTACCACAATTACATGTATTACCACAATTAACATAAATTCTACTATAGATAACAAGAGAGTCTTCTCTCTGAATATCATAAAATCAAAACATCACGAAAATTACTTCTACATGTCTACAAGCTTTAACACTTAAAACAAATATTATATGTTTCATTTTTATATGCAAACTACTGGATACCAAAGGAAAATTGCTGAGTAATATTCATGATTGAGCTTTCCTTGTTTAATAAAAGCATAACACAGCGAGTTATCAGATTTCTACAATAACTACAGTGACACTTGTCTAACCCAGATGTTGTCTATCCCAAATGCTTGCCAAATATGGTTTTAATTGTAAGTCCCTGGCAGTAAATTCAATTGGATTTGACAAGTTTTACTAGTATTGTACATGTATCTGCAAGACTGAGTTGTTAAGGAATGACAAAGAGATACAGTATTTTTGCTTGCATATAAAAGCTTGTTTACAGTAAAATGCCCAGAATCAAACTTTCCTCATTCTCTTTAATATGAAATGAGTATACAGCCCTGGTCTTACTGTTTGTTGTCCATTAGAATCTGGAACCCTAGAGCCACTAACATCGTGAAGCCCATACTGGGGGTGTACAGGATCCTCTCAGCTACCACAAACCCCACGGGGAAAAACAGGTTAGAAGCGGGGATAAATGGGAGGATCATCAGGGAAAAACTCTGGAAAGTAATAATAAATGGTCATAAACCATAACATGTGAAATATATGGAAACTGTCAAGATCTGAATACATGTAGTTATCATTAGTTAGTTTTTGAGATTTGTGCATACACGTAAATTTAATAAATAAATCTTACAGTAAAGACATATTTAACAATAGCAAAACACAAAGATTAAGAAAATGGTCAATGCTTTGTTTGTAGTTGAAAAAAAAATGAAATTGAAATTTAGATTACAGAAAAAGCAAACTTCCATTTGAGGCTACTTTCTCAGTAATCCACACACAAATATATACACAAAAATTTTCTGTTGCAAATTTTCATTTCAAAGTTGTTTTCACATTCAAGATACTGTCAGAAATGATTTACATATTAGTGTACAAATTTTCAAGATTTCTCTATACTTAGTGTATTAAAAAATCTTAAGATTTGTTGCACAGAAAGAAATTCAGACCATCATTAACTTTAGCAATTTACCAATATCAAAGTTTGAAAAACACATGTAGCAGTTAATGTACTGTACCATGATAATGGCTCTGTTTCTCTTATCTTGTCCCTGAAGCATAAAAAATATAAATTTCCCTAACACAGCATAAAATCCCAGAGTTATAATATTCCTGGGGTCCAGTATAGAACTGATCACTGGGATTGTTCCCATCGTCCAATCACAACACAGTCCTGAGGGGAAGAGGAGGAGCCAAGCATTGATTGGCAGCAGATAATTATAAGTCAACTGTCTTATTGGAGTGTTCTCCATGGAAGCTGGGTTATCATATCTGAAATTTAGGGGGAAAACTTAGATGCTTAATTTTTTATATTCATAAGTTATTCATAATTTTATTTTCTTTTAATCAAATTACTGATAAAGATACAGATACACGCAAAATATCCTAGCAAATGTCGGAAGTGTATAATTTTTTATTTTAATACACAAACATCAACAAAGAGAAAGCTGAAACTGTAGATATATACTCCATGTATTTTTATTCAGAGGGTTTGATATTACAAATTTTAACACCCATCTAATTTGAATGTCAAAATCATATGTACAACAATTTTTTTACCTGGTGAACACAGGAAGCTGAGCCCCCATAACTTTAATTCTGGCCAACAGTAAGAAGACAGTCGTCCCAACTAAAAATATGGCACGTACAATGGAGTTCTTCAACCAGGAAGGAATATGTGGCTTCCCTCTAATAAAACTTCCCAGAATGGCTAACAGCTCTTGGAATGATGCCTAGATTGAGAATCAAATTCATGCTTTCATTCATAGGAATAATAAAACATGGAAACATTTGCAACAAAATACCTACACATTGACTGAAAACTGCTGACACATGCAAAAAAAGAATTTCTTCAAGACAGGTCACATATACAGATGTTCAATGAACACTAGCATACAACAGTTGGCTACAGTTTTTGTACAGTATGCATTCTTTGCTTTTCATTTTTTGTTTCTTTTCTTTTTTTTTTTTTTTGGCCCCGAGGCTGATAAGCAGCAGAAAAGCTTTTTTGTCTGTGAGTAAAGGCTAATTATTACTTACTCTTTGAGCCACAAATATTTCATAAACACAACACACTCCAATAACCGTGATTCCTTGTTCTTTACAAAGCATCGCTATGGTAACCAGTACCACAGTTCCTATCAAGGGAGGCCATTCTGAAAAAAGACATAAAATATATTCTGGATGTTTTGCAATGACACTAAGTTTGAATACACATGTACAGTAAAACATGGTTTCAGTCATTCAGCAAAGTGATTTTCTCCTGTAATTTCAAAACAGATCATGAATTAAATGGACATAACGAATTAAGCAAAAGTAATGGTTTGGGCCATGGATATCGACTTGGGTAGCTCAGTAGGTAGAGCACCTGAATAGTGATGCAGGGGTCCCGGGTTCGATTCCCGGTCCAGTGTTCCAACACATTTTTAAGAGATAAGAGTACATTTTTCACAAGAATGGACTACACATTATAACTTGCACCCCTAGTAAATTGCAATCATACAACATACAATAAATACTCACTAATTTTGCCATGATATGAGGTACAGTTGGAATATGTGATTAATGCTGCCAAAAAGAATATGGAAGACAATGCCTCAGCTCGCCCAACCACTCCAGTAACCTACAGATAAATTTTGGTGAAAATCAATTAAACATAAAACTATGGACAAACTACCTACAGATAAAGTTTGGTGAAAATCAGTAAATCATAAATAGAAACAAAACTACTTAGTTTACATGTGTATTTAATATAATATTTAAAACAATGTTTGGTCCAAATTTATTAAACTGTGCCTCTGAATTTTTTACTTTGTAAATGCAATAATTTTTTTTACATTATTTGCAATAAGATTTTTTTTAAACATGTTCAAAATGTTGTCTTCAACTTGTCTTACTGCTTCAGTGTGGATGGGATGAACGGCAAACAACAGTGCTGCTATAAAACTGGTCAACTCTCTCAAAAACATGTTACATACTCTGTGGAAACAAACAAACATACATATATGTACAACCAACTTCAAAATATCCATTGTATTCTATAAATACACCCTTTACATGTTCATGTAACTGACATTCAACTTTACAACATACTGCAGAATTGTCATTGTTCGTGGGGGATCAATGTTCATGGATTTCCTGGGAAATCCTTACCCACAAATTTACATCCCCACAAACACTGAAACACACATGCACTGAGTACAATAGAGCTATCTATGGGTAGACTTTACTTTATCGGTCCCCAGATCCGCAAGATCTACATGCTCATTGCACTATGACGTAAGATTTACGTCACTAAACTGATTAGGGTTGATTTTGCACATTTTTCGACTGGTTAGGGTTAGTCTTGCACCCACCTGAAAAATTAGGGTTAGTCCTTGCATAAGTTTTCGACTGATTAGGGTTAGTCTTGCATCCATCCGAGAGATTAGGGTTAGTCCTTGCACATGGGTTAGTCTAGCATGGTTTAGCATCCGCCTTGGAGATTTGGGTTAGTCCTCGCATACCATCCGAGAGATTAGGGTCAGTGTCTTGTTCTTTTAGATTAATTAAGAAATTCAGTTGCATCTGTATTTTTTGCAAGATCTTTATTCAGCTTCAACGACATCTCGTTGGTTTGCTTACATGAAAAAAAAATGGCTAAGTACGAAAGAAACGGCACTAAGCATGCGCCGCACGCGCTTCGTTCACAATTATTTTTTGTCTCCTTTTCACTGAATAAATAATACATGTATTTATTACTTTTTTCAGAGAACGAGGTTAAAAACTTCGTTTAAAAACGAAGTTTTAAACTAAACTTTTAACCGTAGAATTCGATTTTGGGGTCAAAAAGGCTTAAAACCTCATATTTTAATTTTTTTTTCGATTGCTCACGCGATCTCATATATACTGAAGTCGCCTACGGCGACACTATAGTTTAGCGCGTTTTTCTGGGGACCAGTAAAGTAAAGTCGTTCCCTATCTATCTTTATAAAACATACAATTTACCCATGAAATTACGTCCCCACTAACCAGTAAAATTTTGGTTACCCACAAACATTGACCCTCATGAACAATGATGAATCTACAGTATGTGATGTGGACAACTTACTTCATAAACAACAAACACACAATGGCATGGAGGACAACATTGACTAGATGGTAAGACATTGGTTCCAGTTCACTGACTGCGTAGTTCATCCGGAACGTTAGAACACACAGAGGTCTGTACGACTTGTGACTCTTCTCCTGGAAAACAAAAAAAAAATTTTTATAACCATTATTGACTAGATAAGTTGCCTCACAGTATATCTATTTGAGTTTTAAAAATTCTCCTTCATTGTAATGTAGGAAATAAGCTCATCCTATAAAAATTGTATCTTTGATTTGCTCTCAAATGTGACGCATAGCTGTAAAGCTTTGTGACCAAATATCAAATTACGGAATGTTTCACCTATCTTATTTCAATAAAATTGCAGGGATTGCGGTTTGCCATAAGAACCCACAAGATTTCTCTCTATTACACCATTATGCAATGAAATGGAAACAAATCCAAATCATTTTCAAATGATACTGAAAATTTTGGACTTCTAATAGTATGAACATGTAAAACGACAGCTACATGTACATTCAAATCTCGTTATCTCGAATTTAATGGGGCCGAGAAAAACTTCGAGATATCCAAGGATTCAAGATATTGAGGGTAAAATACTTAAAAAGAATAAGTGGTTGGGACTTCCAAATGACTTCAATATATCCAGTATTCGCGAATCAGTGTTCGAGATACCGAAGTTCAACTGTATTTGGTCTTTGAAGGGTTTAATAATAGGGGGCAAATCAGTATCACATGATCAAGTTTCCACATACCATTCTCACTGGAGTTCCCAAGAAGTCATTCCAGAATAGGTTTATATGCAGATTTTAATAAAACTCCTGACTGCCAAAGGACTATATTCTGTAGTGGCCAGTATCTGCCCCCAAAATAAAACTTTGATGGAGAAATCTTTAATTATGTTCTAAACCAGGTGGATATTTGCAGACTTCAAAGCATTGAATATTTTTATCAACTATGACATCATTAGTAAGATATGACGTCAATAAAATGACGTAAATTCCAAATTGCAATGATTTTGAGAGAAAATAGCGTATTTTACGTCGGTATTTTGATTGGAATTTATCGAGCGCAGGTCTGCTCAGACTAGATCTTTTGATATAATGTGTAGAATGATAATATCAATGAAATATGTGAATATGGTACCTGAGCAAGCTTGCACTCTATAAATACTATAGTCAAAATTGAACAAACTCTGTGCATTTTGGCCTCTATTTTAAAAATAACGGAAATCCAAATAGTTTGTGACGTCACAGAGACAAGAAAAGCCAACTAATTTTTCCAATTTCATAATATATTGTCTTAATTTGGGTTATTTTATACAATATATGCACTTTTTCTCATTTCAAGAGATTTTCAAAATTTGACTATTATGGGGGCAGGAAAACGCCCTTACCGTATATAGTTCTTTGGTACTCACAGGATTTCTTTCCGTAACACTATAATTATCAAGTGACCAGTAATAGAAAGACATCCTGGGGTTTCAAATAATGGCAGACTACTAATAAGCTGAAAATTGTAAAACTACACCTACATTGTCATCAATATCACCTGATCAAGTTTCCACATACCATTCTCATAGGCGTCCCCCAGAAGTCATTCCAGAATAGGTTTGCTATTGGAGTCCTTGGTCTGAGGTCCTTATTCTCCACAATGGCCGACACGTCATCGAAAACGAAGCCACATCCCAGTGCCTTGTAGTAGCACACCGCCACAGTCACCACAACAATGGCGGAGTATATCACTCGGGTCTCCATCGTCAGTTCAGGAGTTTGTAGAGGTCTTGGAAGGGGGAGGGGTAAAGATGACGAAGATGTACGGATTACATACTAGGAGGATAAATTACCTAGTAGAAAAAAAAAACAACAGAAAGTTATTATAACTGAATGTTGTTAAATACATGGTACAAGTTGATAATTTTATCTTTTCTTCAATTGAAAGTAGAAATAAATCCCAATGTGAGACGTTGCATATATTGCAAGTGTCTGACATTACTGACAATTTTAAAAACATAAGAAATGTTAATATTCATAAAACAATGTATAATGTTTGTTCTTGAAAATATTGAACAATGGTTTCTAATTTATTTTTAGAATAAACATCATTTGTCAGTCGGGGGTTGAAACTGAAATCCATCATTCTTTTGTTAATATGACTCGCTATATATTTTCATACTTTCATTACCAACATAATTCTTCTACCTAGATTGTAAATTAATAATTGATTTTTGAGTTTATACAGCTTGAAAAGGAGTGTTTACTCGAGTTTCACTTCATTCTTTCACTATAGTTACTGTTGATCTCATGTGCTAGAAATATCTTGAAAAAGAATTGAAGCCAAAAAAAAAAAAAAAAAAAACCTTAGAATTACATGGTAAAAAAAGATATTACAATGCGCTCTGACACCCATTTGGTAAATAAAATTCGTCTTTCATATTCGTATTATTTTTGTAAAATGCGAAGGACGCCGAGCCCCCTGAATCTCCAGTCAACTGAGCTATCTGGCCATTGGCGATGGAATTCATCTGACTGCCACATTCCTTCCTACTTAAAGGTCTTGGGCCCCCGAAGACACCAACCCAGGCTCTTCAATGTTTACAATGTTTTCTGTAGCCATTTTTTGGTAAGTGAATAGCAAGCTGTACTACAAAATGTATGAATGGATGAAATTTAGGTTGAATTCTTTGTTTCAAAGGAATTTTGATGGACATACAAAAAAAATTCTAAAACTCTTAATCCTTTTTGCAGCAAAGTATTACTTTACATTGTGCTGAATTATCATGATTATTACCAATTATTTATTTTGTTGACCATAATTGACCTCCTTTACCAGTTTATAGCAAGTGTAGAGAGTGGCACAAAGTGCAACTTTTTTTTGCCGCTCACTATGCAAGCTCTTGCAACAATTCTTGGGCAAAGAGAAAATTGGAGCACATTGGTCCAAACAAATTTTTTCCGCAGTATTAAACCTCTCAAGATCCACAATCCTTTGCAAAATGCATCTCACTGCAAACTACATTTGAGCGATAACAACAAAAGTTCTCATCTAAAAATAAACTAACCTTGATTTGATGGAAATTGTATTTATTACAGGTAACAAACTCTTTGTTAAAGAAATTGTACTCTTTACTGTTTTAATGGAAATGAAATTAACTTACATCAGGTTACACGTGATGTCACAGTCCAGACTGAAAGGTCACACCGCCAACATATTAAATTAAATCAAGAAGTAAATGTGTGGTCACAAATCAATTGATAGTCCTAAAAATTTTATAACTTTGAGTAAAAAGTCTCTCAAGTATGATAAGAATTAAGATAGCTAACTCAAGCTATTTTGAATAATTAAATCAAGCTATATAGCTAATTTAAGTTATAAATCTAAATCAAATATCAAGTACAGGTTCCAGTTATTGTTAACACAATTTACAAAAGATATATGTTTATATTTTTTCCATTGAAGACATATTTAGATATATTTAGCATATCAAGCCCACTACCCTTCATAATAACCAATATATCTATATTTTAAGGTATGTCACTCGTGAAACTTGTTATATCAAGGATTTTTTGAGAAGTATATTTTGGATAAGTACTCATATAGTATGACTCAAAATCGCAGAGAAAATGAGGGGTCAGTGTGCATCTAACTGAGCTACGGTACAATTAAATTGACCTTTTTGCACTTAAATTGTAACTCTTTGGTTCATCACTTTAACCGTTATCATATTTTATAAGATGTAACCATGACAATAAACATAATCTTATTTTACGTAAAACAGTTTGAATAATATTTATCATTGAACAAATCATGCAAATTAATGCGCGTAAATTATTGTGTGACCTCTTTGCACTAAAAAAAGTCTCATATTTAGGGTATTAAAAATCTAAATAGGCAATAGAATATTTTCTTGTATCAAACTTTTTACGACTTAAGTGATGATCGGTCAAAAGTATCGAGTAGTTTAAAATAATGAAAGAAAAAGTTGGGGTCAGTGATGTAAATTTTGAAATATTGGTCAAAATATGCGATTTTCAGGCAAAAAACTGTGTAAATTTTATCTCGACTTCCTTAATATATCTTCATTTCTTGGCAATGTTTGTGGAGCGAATGTGTAAATTTTGTTATAAAAATATAAATTGAGACCTATATTTAATATTCCAGGCATATCATAACGGAAAATATTCTCTGAGTAAAAGTATGTGAGGCTAAAGTTCCAAGATATTAATTTTAATAAATGTGTAGATTTGCAAAATTTTCTGCTAAATATCCTTCCGCCACAAGAAATAGTCCCTTGTAAATCTTGCTTCTTTGTGAATTTTTGAGCAGTTTTTTAATTGAATGTTGAACATTTTACATTGTTTAATTTAAATATGTTATAAAGATTGAATTGTAATAAATATTTTTTAAGTAAGAGGTTCTGACTGAAATTTTCTAAAAGGCTGACGAGTGACATACCTTAAAGAGGATTTTGGTAATTTCTAGGGGTATTTCGTGAAATAAGAAGCATTTCAGTAATTCAACATACCGAAACCTGTTGCTCAAAAACATGTAACAACTTGATTTTAAGCACAAGATGATAAGATGTTTTCAGATGTAATCTTTTACACTCACGCAAGTATTATGAATTATAAACTTACATTCTGTTTATACCATTATCGTGACCGAATTGACGCTGAACATGCTGGAAACATGACACACAAAAAAGTTAAAACCGGTTTCGATGACATAGGAAATAATGCATGCCACATAATTATAGATCCGGCGATAAACTACCTAATTCCGGAAGCAATAATGGTTTATCTAGCGAAACCCTGATTCTATGAAATCAAGGCCGTGACCAGGTCCAACTTTCAATGAAGCCTCTGTTGCTCTTTGGTTTTAGAAAATTGAAGACTTTATAGTCTTAATTCTTTACTTTTCAATTTTCCTTATTGGGAAAAAATAGTCATGTAAACAATGTATATTTACAATTCGAATATATGTGCGACTGATATGGGGAATATACATATTATCAATTGCGAGAGAAAAATACTTATTGTGGAATGTGGAGGGCGAAAAACTGATTCCTGGGGGAGGGGATTGTATTCTACAATGTACGATTTCATCTCTCGAAAGTGCAATTTTCGTTCAGGAAATCTTACTCTAAAATCTTTTTAGAGTGTTTTTTTTTTGGGGGGGGGGGGGGCAGATTAGATAGACAGATCCGTACACATGCCACACGAGTCGGCAATTTGATTTATTTTATCAGGAAGTTAAAAAATATATATATATATTTATATCCTCCCCCCTTTTTTTTACTTCTGAAAAGATGACAAAAGTTTGTTAAAATATGTTGTGTTAAGGACATTGGCAAGTCAAGGTTTTCCGGAGAAAGAAGGTTTAATACATGGGTTTTTTCACTTATAGAATAGTGATTGAGAGTGATCTCCCGTGTAGAATTCTCTAAGCGGTGGAAACCAATAAAGCGTATGTTACAGAGGTAAACAAAAGCACGTGTACTTCCTTCAACGGGTAGAATCATCTATACAGCAAGAAAGAAAAGTAGTAATGGCTTTGTTGCACATTGTATTCAGGGACAAAGAGCCAGTAGGTCGTCATTTACGATAATTGTGCTCAGTATGCTGGGAAGGGCAAAGATGTGACATATGCTGAAAGGTAGGCCGACTGAGAACAGTTCTTAGCTAGGTCGTGTGAAGGAAGCAGCATTTAGTAACTACGAATAAAAAATAAAAATTAAACAATGCCAATATTTTTGTTACAATGTGTTTCAATCAATTCAGTCAACTACATGATAAAAACAATCAACCAGTCTCTTGATCAATTTAAGCTGTTAAGGGAAGCAACTCAGAAATAATGATCGGTGCCGGTATATCCATGTTTTGTTCCGATATATAAGTTTTTAGCCAAGATTTCTAGAAGTCATAGGAAATGAAGATACAATAATGTATATAATACAAAAACTGTATGAAATAAGTGGGTTTTGGAAAAATATTATGGTGAAAAATTATGTAGGTCCCTTTTATCAACATTTTACATAGGAAATACATTGAGAAGTGTAAAAACATTGATTTGATAAAATCTAAAAAAGAAGGTTGGATTGGCAGGTTAAACGGTCCAGAATATCGCCTGTTTAGTACATTTAAACCTACTCAAAAGTTCTTGAAAAATTCTATACGATAACCAGGAACCTTGCCAATGTCCTTAAAGTAAGACTTACACATGTACATGTACATGTAGGAAACAAAATTAATTCTTTGAATTGTAAGATCTTTATGAAAAATTTTAATGTTTAACTAAATTTCAGCTTCAAGTACATTAATTGTAAATAATTAATTGTGGAAAAATTCATTCGTGATTAAATTTTACAGAAAAAGTCTGTGGATGTTTTGGTTTGTGTCATACATGTCAGTCTAACATGAATTTGCAGAATTAATTTATAAAGAAGACTTAACAAGAAACATGTACATGTAATCCTACATGCCTGATTTATACATAAAACACATGGTGATCGATATCTCCAAACCTGTTGTTATGCTCCGTATCAGGTAAAATTGTATGTCGTTTATGAGTTAATGCTAAATCCACTAGTTGCAGCAGAAGACATACTAAACAATACAGTGAATTGTTTTTATATTGTTTAATTATAGATTTCATTGAACAATTTCGTTTACAAAATAAAATCTGTTTTAAGATATGTGTAGCATTACTTACAGCATATGTTAAAATTTAAAAGTTTGTAGCTTATTTCATTGGTAAAAAAAAATCAACATAATATATTAGAAAGCTATTCAAGTATTATATAGTAGATTACTATAAATTAATATGTAGTTATGTGATATAGTTTTTTAAATGAAGTGTTATTTTAAGTAAACTGTCTAATGTGATTCCAGACAATGGGTTTTATACTGTAACAATTACTCATGAACTGGATACAAAGTAACAAAAATGATGGGTAAGTGTACATTTTGATATGCCATGCATTGTGTTTTATGACAGAATAAGAATCACTTTATATACTTGTACACTGTCAGTGTGTTGGTGTCTTGTTGTCCCAAATAGAGATTGTTCTTATCATCCACACACACACTACAGGGAAACTTTACCCCTTGTTGTCGTGTGAGTAATAGAGACAAGAACTGACCGTCCTGATCAAGGAGGTGAACAGTGTTACTGTTATCATCACACACCAGGATGTGACCGAGGACATCAGTACAGATTCCATAGGGATAGAACTCTGACTTCTGACCTGTGTAGGAGAACCTGTGTTGTCCTGATTTATTCACCACCACTATTCCGTTATAGTAGTCTGATGTACAGATATCTCCATTGATGTTTTCTGTGATGTAGTGTGGAACACTATACAGTCTCTGTCCTTTGTTACCCCTCTGTATGTTCTGTAGTTCTTTTCCTGTCTTGTTGTACCTGGTGACTTTAGCCTCTCTATCCTTCACCATCCCCACCAGTAAGTCCCCGTTGATGTGGGAGGAGTGTATGCTGAGTGGTTCCCAGTCTCCAGTTTTAATGAATTCAGTGATATTATTATCCTGTGTTATCCTATTGATGACTTTCTTGTATTTGTCTGTAAAGATCAGATCCCCGTCCTGTGTCACTGTGTGGTAACCTTCATATTCACCACTGGTTTCTATCTTCTGTATCACATTCCCCTGTAGATCTGTTTGAACAAGATTACCATGTCTGTCACTGATCCAGAGTCTGTCTGATTGATCTAGTGATACATGGTATACACCATCAACACCTGGTACATTGAACTCCCTGACCTTGGTGACAGAGGCAGATAGAGACATTGTTTGTTTCTTGTCAGATTTCTACGGAAGCCCAATAGTGCAAACCAAAAATAAATAAACAAAAACGAAATTATTAAATAAAGAAAACGAAATTATTAAATAAAGAAAAACGAAATTATTAAATAAAGAAAACGAAATTATTAAATAAAAAGCAAACGAAATTATTAAATAAAGAAAACGAAATTATTAAATTAAGAAAACGAAATTATTACATAAAGAAAACGAAATTATTAAATAAAAAACTGAAACTAAAATACGGAATTTATAGATGTGCATGGTAAGGGCCTGAACCCATGAACCATTCCATAAAGCACACGTGTTCTATGACCTGATTTTGTTTCGACATTAAAACAAGTGTGATATTTGCATTTACACTCAGCTATTTCCGTATCGATAACATAACCAGTTGGAGTAGACAATCATAATAGATGAATAGGGGAGAATTTTACCTTTGGTTATCCAATATGCTTAGATCTATGTTTTTATCTTACATTAACATGATTAATGTGAACTTAATTTGACCAGTCTGATGAATTGGCCAGTGATGACAAATTTATGTTAGTATTAGCTTTCTTAAACCCTCAACTCAGAAGGTCTAATTATTAGCAAACAATGAATCTGGACATGAAACATCAAAGAGATTATGCTAATAAATTGCACAAATATTTAAGATATACATGTCTGTTAAGATTCCGTTGTTTACAACTGCTGAACCTTATAACATTTAGGAAATTCCCATGGTTATACATCTTTTTTTCAATTATAGCACAGTACAAAAAAAGCTGTAAAATGATACGTTACCAATCGGAACCCATTTAAATTATTGTTTAAAGAGAGCAAGTGCAAAAATTAAACAAGACAAATTTGTTACAATGAGTAGATTTTAATGATTGCTTACTTTATTAAAAATTAAGCAAAACACCTCTAATTTCTTGCACAGGCGCTCCCCATGTAATTTTGTAAATGACAAATGATAAGTATATATATATACATGTACATAGGTCTACCCCTCAATACTATAAAATCAACAAGGTTGATTTTATAGTATTGAGGGGTAGACCTATATATATATATACTTATCATTCGTCATTTACATAATTACATGGGGAGCGCCTGTGATTTCTTGGTTGGTCATTTATCAAAGCATAATTAGAAGTGATGCACTAACTTTTTGTTCTCACATGTTCTAAATGACAAATTCTCAATCCGTATTTATAAGTCAGTGATAGTTGTGACAAACAATGCACACACTTGCATAACAAACCCAACTAGTATTCAAATCATTCTCTTTATTGTTTCAACAACCTAAGATTTATGGATACACAGATAGGGCACTAGGTTTAGTTCGGGGGGAATTCAGCGATACGATACGCAAGGCCTTGACCTTTCAGCGATTCATGAGCTCTTTTGGAATGTCATTAATTTTATGTAAGCAGAAACAGCCATCCTCGCTACGTCCAGGCTTACAGGCTCAAACTTTGACGTTGTGGGGATGCGACACAGCATCAAATTCCCGTAAACAAAATTGAACAGTTATTAATCATTTACTTTACAAATGCGAATTATAGGCTGTGAGCACATAATGTTTTTCTACGTTTGTCAATTTGACATTTATCTAAGTTTTTTTTTTTTTTCATTTCCCCCACACTTGTTTCAATGTCGAAACAAAATCAGGTCTGTAGAATTACTAAGTGATGCTTTATAACACGTGCGCTTTATGGAATGATTCATGGGTTCAGGCCCTTACCATGCACATCTATAAATTCCGTATTTCAGTTTCAGTTTTTTATTTAGTAATTTCGTTTTCTTTATTTAATAATTTCGTTTTCTTTATTTAATAATTTCGTTTTCTTTATTTAATAATTTCGTTTGTCTTTTATTTATTAATTTCGTTTTCTTTATTTAATAATTTCGTTTTCTTTATTTAATAATTTCGTTTGTTTCTTTATTTAGTAATTTCGTTTTCTTTATTTAATAATTCCGTTTTTTATTTAATAATTTCGTTTTTTATTTAATAATTTCGTTTTCTTTATATAATAATTTCGTTTTTTTTGTTTCTTATTTTTTTGGTTTGCACTATTGGGCTTCCGTAGATTTCTTTCTGTCTTCTTTCATCTGTTTATGTGTAGGTTTCATTGCTGTATTGTAGACACTTTCAATAGGCCTTATTTCTCTCTTCTCTGCTTTAGTGTTGGGGACATGTATTTTACGAAGTAATTTGGTGACATCACTTTTGCTGTATTGACCAGCAGTAAATCCTGGTGTGACTGGTTTTGTTGTCTCTGGTATAGATCGGATCTTTGGTTTCTTCTCAGACATTAATTTCTGGGGTTCTGTAGAGGACAGGCATCTGTGGAGCTCTTTGACAAGGTTATTGAGGTAAGTGATGTAATCATCCATTGTCTTGTCTTGCGTTTTTAGATCTTCTAACAGTGACTGCTCTATCTGGTCTAACTGCTTCATGTTCTCAGATACGACTGTGTCCACCAGACTTTTCAGGGACTCGCCTTCAGTCTTCATGGATGTTCTGATGTTGTCCATGGTATGTTTGATTTCTGAGCAATCTTTTTTAATTTCTTTCTGTAAATCTTGTGATGTGGGGAGAAAATACTCTTGGATTTTGGATATTTCCTCTTGAAAGACTGCATATTTATCTGCATAATTTTTCTCTAGATCAGTAAATATATGCCCCCGATGGTTTTCCTGTGTGGCACATTTGGAACATACTGGAACTTGGCATTTTTCACAGAGCATATCCACATCTTTAGTAGGGTGGATCTTGCATTTCTCCACAGGAAGTTGTCGTTTACGCTGCAGGTAAAGGACTACCTCATGGTTCTGGTTTTTTCCTCTTTTCAGATGTTCATCTTTGCATTGTTTGCACAATCTTTGATGACAAGTGTTGCAATAGAACTCACAGTTTCTTTCGCATTCTTCATTGCCACATTCTAAAAAGTGTTGGGCTCTGTGGGGAATATCCATTTTAAATAATGCCATCTAAAATGATAAAAAATCAATTCCGTGTAAAAATAAGTAGGAAATGTGTTCTATGCTACATAGAATAATAATATAACTACACGTTCAATGACAATGACACATCTACATCTTCATACAAGCTTTAACAGTAATTATCTCGGAAACATATGCACTCCGACACCACATGCACATGTATTTAAAAGTATCCCCCAATCACTACTACATCAAAATTAAGTCATAAATAAAATGTTTATTATTATTATTATTTTTTTTTTTACTTACAGCTTTTATGAATGACCTATAAATGACTTCATTGACAGACTTTGGAATGTGAGAATGAGATCTGGCGTGAGACTTTAACGATATTTGTAATTTACTTCCTGGTTGGAGGTATTTATAGATTAAAATGTCTACTGATGTTGGGGGAGGGGGACCGATGTCCCCCGGTTCCTCTGGACCTGATTACAAAAGATATATTTAAGAACAAAGTCAACAGTACAAAAAATTCTCACAGGACTAAAAGTGTCTCAATTATCGCCTTGAAAAAAAATCACAGCACCATGCATATATAAAGTTTAACGTCAGCATGTGATTTGTTACATGCCATCGGCAGATCTAGGGTGGGGGATAGGAAGAGGCTCAACAACATCCCCTTCCAATAATTGTTTTTCACGTTTGCAGGCCTCTTAGTGCCTTATCAAAAAAATTCAGTCGCAATGCAAATTTTTAGTCGCCCAAGCAATTTTTCTAAGGCGCCAACTTAAATAGTTAATAGTAATCAATATAGGGACCCATGACGTGACTGAGACAACACGACATTTCCATTGCTTAAAATGATTTCCTCTTCTTTTAACTTTCTTTTCGCTTTTCCAGAAAAATTGTTAAAAATGTTAAAATTTCCGGAATTCGACGATCGCCAAGCAAAAACTTTACGTATTTTTTTCTTGTTAACAAAATTCTGTGTTGGATTTTTTTTTTTTTTTTTTTTTTTTATCTTTTTGGACTAAGGTGGACCCCCCCCCCCCCCCCGGGGATCCTTAATCCACGCCTGCATGCATTGATTACTAGATATGCATATTTAAGACCTAAAAACGGAGAAAAGTCTTTAAAAGTTTTTGATTCTGATGGCACACACCTTTCAGTTTGTATCTAAAACAAAGGATCAATGTCTATATGGAGGATTTTTTTTTCTTTTATATATTTATTTTTGAACTGATTATATTAAATCAAGGGCCGTAAAATTTATTACTGGTAAATGATCTTTTAATAGCAAAAGATTGTGGCAATTATTATCTTTGCAGATGAGAATTTAAAGTATTCATAGTCGGGGAATAGACTTCAAACAATGCGAATACACATAAAATTTGTATTGGAATAATTTCAGCCATTCAAGGAATTTATTGTGGAGAAAATCTGTAAACTACCTGTAGCAATCCCATACATTCACTGACTTCATCATTAAAGAGTGTGACAGAGATGAACATTATTTTAACTTATGTCTATTCATTTTCATGTTTAAACACTTCTAATAGAAAACGAGTTTATCATTGATTTTTTGTGAAACAGATGAAGAAGTGTTAAACTCTTAAAATTAATTCCCCATGGGTCACTTTTTAAACCCGGTTCATTTCACTTTGTTCTATTATTTGTGTAGATATATTTTTCATCTTGATATTGCATTGTTTTAGCTGATCCCCACAATACAAACCTACAATTAGCTTTTATTAATATGTTATTTCCCGAATTTCAACTCAAAAAGCTACGCGTAAGTCTGACTCTTAAATAGGATTTTGCTCCAACGGAGCTGGTCTTTCTGACAGTCTGTTACCCGTGGACTGTTATATTTAGATTCACACTCTTTGATATTTTCCTTTGGGAATAAATTAAAATTTCTTCTGAATCAATGGAAGGACTATAATTTAATCAATCCCTTTATACTACACTACACTTACAATACAGCTCAGTGAGTCTGTTTTGCTGATTATTAAGAGTAAATGGAAATACAGATACAGCTGTAATTGTTAAAAAGTTCTTGAAAATTGTGTCAAAAATATATCGAACCATTTTGTATCGCTAAAAAATCCCCCCTCACCGAACGGACAAGTTGTTTCGCACATATTTGGACCTAAATCATATTACTAGTATGCAACTGATACATGAAATATTTAATTCTTGTGTAGATGCAATGAAAAAAAATAATTCTTGGATAATGTTTTTTTAAAGTTATTTAAGGAGGGATTCTTGTCTGGTTTCTGACTAGACGAAATGTCAAGGGAAAAGATAATGACCTTGACCTGACCTTGCTTCTAAAATAACTTTAATCTAATTGATGCCATCACTTAGTGATAATGTCTTATTGAATCTGTGAAAATTTCATTAATTTTTAAATACAAGAAATATGAGAAGAATATGAGAAGAATCCCTCCTTAACTGATATCTGATTTGTCTGATAAATAAATTAGAGTACAGATTAATCAGATCGTTCCAAAAATGTAAACTCAAGAGAAACCTTTTTTTCCCAAAAGTCTATATGCACTTACAGTGTGTTGCAACAGCTACTGAAATAACGACCACTATAGTGGTCGTTATTTCAATAGTGTTTGCTACAACAGTGTATTTGCAAAAATAGTGGTCGTTTTTTCAATATTGGTTGCAACAACAGTGTATTTGCATATATATATATATATATATATATATATATATATATATATATATATATATATATATATATATATATATATATATATATATATAATTTTCCAATTTGTAATAAATTTGTTACATTCTAAAACATTACGATACAAGAAGATCTAATCTAATATCAGCAACTTACATAAAATATATGCAGCACAATATCTTTGCAACTTGAGAATTTCAGTATCATGAAAATGCAGGGGCCCGTTTTACAAAGGAACTTACGACAAAGACCAAAAACTTAAGTAGATTGTAAAATTTTGCAAAATTGATTATTCTGTTTGAAATTGATCAAATAAAAACATCTTTCTAACTTCTTTTTAAAAAGAATAAAACCGTTTTCAAATTGATGCTAAATAGAAAGTAATAAGCAGAATTAAATATTGGTCTTAGTCGTAAGTTCTTTTGTAAAACGGGCCCCAGATCTTTCTTGAATATACATTCTTATTCTATTACATCTCTACGGAAGCCGGTAGGTGCCAGGTAGAAAAATATTTTATCTGGCGGCCGCCAGATAAATATTTGGCGGCCGCCAAATAACTTTCTGGCAGCCGCCAGATAACTTATCTTACGGGCGCCAGAAAGTTATCTGGCGGCCGCTATATAATTTCTGGCGGCCGCCAGATAAATATTTGGCGGCCGCCAAATAACTTTCTGGCGGCCGCCAGAAAGTTATCTGGCGGCAGCCAGATAATTATTTGGCAGCCGCCAGATAATTTCTGGCAGCCGCCAGATCTTTTTATCTGGAGGCCGCCAGAAAATTATTTGGCGGCCGCCAGATAAGTTTCTGGCGGCCGCTAGTTATTTATCTGGCGGCCGCCAGATAATTATTTGGCGGCCGCCAGATAAAATATTTTTTCTACCTGGCACCAACCGGCTTCCGTACATCTCAAACTGTAATTGTAAGAAATATTTCTTGTGGCAACATTTACTCAGGAAACATGCGTTAATAGTCAACAAAATGCATGTGTGACCACTTCGTCGTATTATGCAAATGTTCTCCCCCCCCCCCCCCTTTTATTAAACATATACACATGTGTGTATTCAAATAATAGTAAAAAAGGAAAAGAAAAACATACAAACAAACAAAAACAAAACAAAACTTAGCTTATAATTCTTAGATAATAAAAATAAAACAGCATTCATTTGAATTTATATTTCGTTTATAAAGCAATGCTTTTATCATATCGTAGTTATCTTTCTTACAACAACTTATTTGCAAAAAATGAATTCATGAACCGTGAATATTTTTTTTTTACATAAATACACGATTATTTTAATTTATTTTGACCAAACATTAAACTCAGTTAAAATTAAGAAAGCATGCAATGAAGAATCTTAATGCTGGATTGAAATCACCAATCACAGCACATATTCATAATCTTCTGTTGATGACCTTTATGTTTGCTGACATATTAAAAGTCAAAATTACACGTGTATGATTTTACGGACGAGGGACAAAAAGGGGACCAAAATGCGTGAAAAAAAAAATAGTAAAAAAAAAACAACAAAACATTGGTGTGAAAACTATACCTTGTGTTTCTTTTGATTGAACCGAAATTCAAATAACTTTAAAACAAGAATAAATAAATAAATAAATAATAATAATTATTATTATATATGAAAAAATATAGCAATACAAATTAATTTTGACATCTTAAATTCTAGTAAAAGACAGCTTATTATAGTCATTGACGTACCTAAGACTGGAAGCATATTCAATATTTTAAAGTCAGAAAAGAATGTAATAATTACTGAAGCATTCTCATAAAGTATATGGGCTGATTGCCTTCAACAAAATGTAGGAACATGATGGAGACAGCTACATCGTCATCATTTCCTGAGAACTTTTTTCAGATGCTATGTTTTAATGAGAAAAGGGGGTTCCGCTAAAAGATCTTTGAATTAGCACAAATGTCCGTTCTTATACTGTAACTGTTTATCGGCAACATTTAAAATATGAAGCTATGATTATGCATTGTCATTATCTTGCAAAATATACCGTGAATATTTCATATGTCTGACTATCTATATGAGGGCACAAGGTCAAGCATTCAACAGATAACATTTTGATATTTTGCTTTGATTTACTGAATTAAAGAATTGATTACAGTATTTCAATTGAAATATTTTTATTTTCAAGTATGTATATGTATGCAGTGGTGCAGGAAAGGTCAAGGATGTTAAAGAAAAACATTCCAAAAATAGAACTTAAAAGATGAGCAGCGCTGTCAGACGGGACAGTTTTATTATCAATTAAACACATAATTTAAGTAAACAAATTAACAATCTTCAAGGTAGTGCGAAATACATGTAAAGGCTGTAGTACAGATATACCGGTGATTGTGGTCGGTGCATGTGTACCGCGCAAAACGCAGAAACAGTTACTATAATGAGCTTTATGGCTCATGTTTAGTCCAAATATTAAACTCAATTGACCATTTTCGACAAAAAATGCATGTTTTCCCCTCCTTTGCCAATTTTTACATAAATTTTAACAAATCTTAAATTTTTTTAAGGTTTCATCTAATAACGATTTTAAAAGCTCAAACAACATTATATTTACATCCACGAAGACTTTCTCCTTTATTTCTTATTGCATCTATACTTCTTTCATCAGTCAGTAAATTGCAGGTAAGAACTTTTTTTAAGCCACCCGTA